AGAAGGAGAAGGAGAAGGAGAAGGAGAAGGAGAAGGAGAAGGAGAAGGAGAAGAAGAAGAAGAAGAAAGAGCCTGATTAACTATGGACAACATAGGCAATATCATTTAGATAACACTCTTCAGCGGAAATGGACAAAGTCTGACTTTCCCCAAGAGCAATGGAATTTTTCCTGTGCTCTCAGGGAATGCCTTATACTTTGAACTTTTCCCAGTGGAAAGAGATAGAGAGGCACCTATTTCCACTACAAATTCTATCTAGTACCAAAAATTGTGTCTGATCTGCCTTAGAAATTAAAGGAAACAAAAAAAATTGTCCAAGGAAGAGATCACAATGAACAAAAGAGCTATCTTCAAATATTTAAGAAGATATTGTATAGAAGATGTAGTACACTAAACACCATAACCAATAAAGTGGAGAATTTTTTTTGTTACACTCATAAAAATAGTTGAATCTTATATTTTTTGTACTGATATAAAGTATTATTCACTGTTTTAACAGGAATCAAATATTTGTATACTTATATGCCTATATATACAGTGTACATAGTATATATATATGTGTGTGTGTGTGTTTGTGTGTGTATGTATGCGTGTGTGTGTCTGTGCGCATCTGTACATGGATACATGGATACATAAAATCATTTCATGCTAAAGAAAATTATATTCACTTAGTTCACCTAAAATGTAGTTACCAATGACTTTTTTGTTGTATTTCACCTATGGAGCATCCCTTCTCAATAACCAATAGTATTGAGCCAGCATGCTTGGATTCCATTTGCCCTTGTGCTGTTTTTCAATTGTAAAGATTTATTGATGGAAATATTCACCATGTACATCACTCATAGCACTAGGTTTTCTGGGATGAAGTCCAAATGTAAATCCAAGAAATGCATCTTGAATGACATGTATGATGTCATTACTTAATAGGCTGTGAGAAAAATCACTACCATTTCCTTAGTAACCATTTGCTTCTCTCAAAAAGGTTTTGGTCCCTTTTTAAAAAAATTATTTCCATGAAGCTCTTTCAACCGTTTCTTCAAAACTGTCATCTCATCACTTCCCTTTTTTGAGAACCCACCCACAAATATCACCACCTCAATTTTAACCTCACTGATTTTGGGAAATTTATTTTTCAGATGAAGAGAATCTATATCATTTCAATAAATTATTCTGACAAAATTTTTCATTAAACCAAATTTAATATTCAATAGTGGAAAGAACCTTTGTGGGGCTACCCAGTTGTGCTCTTGCCACATTTTTCTCTTCCAGATTCATTTTTTCCTTTGCGGTCAATGTTTTTTAATAAATATTTTTTCCCTCTGCTGTCCCATTTACAAATAAAGACATATTTATTTTTCATACCTAGTAAAAGAACAAATACTTTTACATGCCACAGATACACAGAGGCTAGTTTTTTGATACTTACTGTTTCTCAAGAGAAACTGAATGTTTTTGGATGTATTTTGCTTCCTAATGACATAAATTTGTATATTTTTAGTCCAGATTAGAAGCCAAAAACTAAGCTTGATTTTTGGATAAGTTAAGATCACAAACATGGTCATTTAATTCTTCTGTGATTATTATGGAGGGAGCATGGTGCACTGGCACTGGATTTGGAGTCAGATGACCTAAGTTCAAGCCCTCCCTCTCATATTTATTATTGGGTAAGAGACTCAGTTCCCTCATTTGCCAAATGAGGGAGTTGCATTAACTGTCCTCTAAGATCCTTCTAGCCAGTGCTGGTGGTATAAGTGCTCACACTGAAAACTTAACAACTTGAGATTCTCTAAACTAGAGACTGGCCTAGACAACAAGAAACCTGATTCATCTTTCCCCAAACTCTCCCCTCTTTCTCATGTGGCCATAATGGAATAAGTAGAGTTTTGTTTTGTTTTGTGTTGAAAGTAGAATTTAATTTCTGAGATTTTTAAACCTATGGCTACCTACAAAAATTCTTTTGATAATTAACACACAAGGCATATTAAGAATATAAGTAAAGCAATGCATTGTTGGTGGAGTTGCGAAATGATCCAATCATTTTGGAGAGTAATTTGGAATTATGCCCAAAGGGCTATAAAAAATGTGTATACCCTTTGATCCAGCAATAGCACTTCTAGGGCTGTATCCCAAAGAGATCATACAAATGGGAAAAGGACCCACATGTACAAAAATATTTATAGTAGCTCTTTTTGCTGTAGCAAAGAATTGGAAATTGAGGGGATGCCCATCATTTGGGGAATGGCTGAACAAGTTGTGGTATATGAATGTAATGGAATACTACTGTGCTATAAAAAATGATGAGCAGGCAAAGTTCAGAAAAACCTGGAAAGATTTGTATGGTCTGATGCTGAGTGAAGTGAGCAGAACCAGGAGACTGTTGTACACAGTAACAGCCACATTGTGTGATGACTAACTTTGATAGACCTAGCCCTTCTCAGCAATGTAAGGATCTAAGACATCTCCAAAGGTCTCATGATGGAAAATGTTATCCACAACCAAAGAAACAACTATGGAGTTTGAATGCAGATCAAAGCATACTATTTGCTCTTTTTTTCCTTCTGTTTTGTTTTGTTTTCTCTTTCTGATGGTTCCTCCTATTGATTCTCATTCTTCCTTACAACATCACTAATGTGAAAATATATTTAATAGGAATGTACACATATAGCCTATATCAGATTGCGAGCCATCTTGGGGAGGGAGGGAGGGAGGAAGGGGGAGAAAAATTTAAAACTCAAAAGCTTATGGAAGTGATTGTTGATAAATCAAAATAAATTAATAAAAAAAAGAATTTAAGTAATGCCAACTAACATCTACAGAATACAAAACGCTTGAGAAAACAGGATTAGAAATAATAATCATGTTTACAAATGATCCTGATACTTACAATCTGCTACACATTGAGAGTTTAACTGCATGACTGAACAAAGGTGAATACTTCTAGGGAGAGTGACTGTAAGTTTTAAGCAATTGTCTCTCCAGAGGGAAAAAAAAATATGCAGAATACAATTTTAAATTTAATTTGTGTTACTATGTTTTCTCCATCTTTTCCCAAGTGTATAAAATCAACAAAATAATAAATCAAACCCTCATTTGTAACATTTGCCAATTTCTAAGATGTAAATGCTCACACTGAAAATTTAACAATCAACTTTTCTAAGTTGGTCCAAGCTGGCTCCAGCACACCACTGAATACGAAGAAAACAACTGGTGACATCTCACTTAGCCCTTCTCCCACACCATATGCACTTTATTAATGCCTCATGTTGCACAATTCATACCAAAATTCATGGAGTATTCAATAATTAGGGTAGTTGCAGTATACCAACTCCTAGATTATTCTTCTTCCTTTTTCAAGGAGTTCAGTACCATCTGCATCTCCAACCTACTCAACACCTGCCTTTGAATGAGGGGACTTTAATTGCCATGTAAATATTCCCACAAACTCCCTAACTTCTCATTTCCTCAATCTTCATAAATCTCATGACTCATTCCTTTACTACACTTTAGCCAGACATAGGGTGGTCACTCACCTGATCTTGCCACGACCCACAATTGTTCCATTTTCCTAATCAGGAATTCTGATTGTCTCCCTATCTGATCATTCCCTATTATTCCACATCTCTTCATTCTTTACTCATCGTATACTTCTTCATTACCCTCATTAGGCCTCCAATTCCCCCACCCCTCAGTATTTTCTCTAACTGTTACCCCTACCCTACCTTCACTTTCCTTCCTTTCCAAACTCAACCGGATAGTTAGCAACTTTAACTCCATGCTCTTGAATCCTTTGTGAAGATCCCACCTTTGCCCTGCGCCTTTCTCTTGACCAGCTAGCGTATTCAATTGCTCCCACGAATCCCTCCTCTTTTCTTTTTCACAAGCTCCTGGAGGAAATTTCACAATTTGCTAAATGAGTATACTACAGATAGCTAATATTTATGATACATAAATATTATATAAAAGTATATAAATAATATTTCTGATTATTCAGTCGTGTCCAATTCTTTGTGACCACCGCTACCGCCACCACCCTTCCATGGACCATAGCATGGCAGGTGCTTCCAAACTGAGAAGTTCATCTTCTGATGTCATGTCTTTTAGTATTTTTAATGCTGTCCATGGGGTTTTCTTGGCAAAAATACTGGAGTGGTTTGCCATTTCCTTCTCCAGTTTAATGCAGACAGGTGTTAAGTGGTTTGCCCAAGGTCACACAGCTAGTAAGTGTCTGAGGTCAAATTTGAACTCTGTTCTTTCTGACTCCAGGCCTAGCTTTCTATCCACAGCCTCATGTAGCTATCTCCATGAATAATATATTTAAATATTGTTTATACATTATGTTTACATAATATATTTTATTTAAACAAATATATAACATACACTTATAATTCATACATAAACATTTTAATAGATTATTATTGTTTTTAAATAGATTTTTAAATTCATCTATACATATATACAATTATATTTTCATTGGCAAAATCTATTTTAAATATATTTATGATTTTCGAATTACTCACTATTAAATATTTAATGTTATTTGATCGGTATAAATAGTAAATAGTGTCCCATTTTAATACATAACCGCATCTTATATAAACGTATTAATTAACTTAAATAAATTAAATTAGATTTCATCTATGTGGAAGAGGTCGGGACCGGGAAGGCCAAAGCCCGGGAATCTGCAGCTGGATGTGCAGCCAGTGGTCGAAGCCGCGGAAAGCATTCGGAAGGGAGCCCCGCGAGGCCAAGGCTCCCCGGCCAGGGGGCAAGGGGCCGGCTAGCGAGCGCCGCCCCCGCAGCCCATCCCGGGGCCACAGCTGGAGAGGGAGGAGGAGCCTACAAAGCGAAAGAGAAAGAGGGCCCAGTGGAGCCGGGAGAGAGCCTCCCCTGAAGCCCCATGAAGCCGCTGGGGCTGCCGTGGCTCTGGCTGCTCTGGGGCTGCAGCTGCGGCCTGGGCTCGGCTCACCCCGGGCTCCCCAGGGGAGCCTTCCCGGGAGCAGCAGCTGCGGCGAACGGCAGCCACTCCGGCCACGTCCCCCCGCAGCGCAGCGAGAAGGGCTCTGCAGCCTTCCGGGTACCGATCATTCCCCAGCCATCTCCCTCCTCCTCCTCTTCCTCCTCCTCCTTTTTCTTTCTCCTCCTTTTCCAACCTCTGCTGGCCACTTCCTTTCTCCACTAAACTTTGTTTGGACAACAGGCCAGGGCAGGAAAGAGGGACGCTGTGGGTGGTTTTAGGGCAGAGAGGAGGACAGGGATGGAGAGGAGAGCGTGGCAGATAGAGGACTGACTTCCCAGGAAGCGCTGAGATTTCTGCCTTTGAAGAGAATGTGGTTCACCTCCATCACTCCATGCCTGTCTTCACTCTCTTCTCTTCTCTCTCTGTCTCTCTCTCTGTGTCTCTCTATCTGTGTCTCTCTATGTCTCTCTCACTTTCTCTATCTCTCTCTGTGTCTCTGTCTCTCTTTCTGTCTCTCCCTCTCTGTGTCTCTCTGTCTCTCTCTTCTCTGTCTGTCTCTCTGTGTCTCTCTTCTCTCTCTCTCTGTCTCTGTCTATATCTGTCTCTGTGTCTCTCTGTCTGTCTCTCTCCTCTCTCTGTCTTTCTCTGTCTGTCTCTCTCAGTCTCTCTCTCTGTCTCTGTGTCTCTGTCACTCTTTCGCTATCTCTCTGTCTGTCTCTTCTCTGTCCCTCTCTGTCTCTGTCTCTCTGTCTCTGTATGTCTGTGTCTGTCTCTCTCTCTGTCTATGTCTGTCTCTCTCTGTGTCTCTCTGTGTCTGTCTCTCTCGCTGTCTCTCTCTGTCTCTCTCCTCTCTCTGTCTTTCTCTGTCTCTGTCTCTGTCTCTCTCTCTCTGTCTGTCTCTCTCTCTCTCTCTCTGTCTTTCCCTTCACCTCCATCACTCCATGCCTGTCTTCACTCTCTTCTCTGCCTCTGTCTCTTTCTTTTGTCACTGCCTTTCTGCTTCTCTCACTTGGTGCCTTGCTAATTCTGTCTCTCTCTGTCTCTTTGACTCTATCTCTGTTTCCCTTGAACACACACCTAAGCAGACCCTGCTGCCCCTTTCAGTTCTCTCTGTGTACATGTCTCTCCCTTTTTCCTTCCTGTGCTCTCCCCCCAGGAAAGTATGTGCTTTTCTTTTTAAAAATGGTTTCAAGGGCTGGCGAGGGCTTTAGCAGTCAGCCACTTCATTACCTTGATTTTGCAGAAGAGGAAACTGAATCCCAGAGAGGTGATGAATAATTTGCCCAGTGTCACATGGGCATTACTGGTACAGCTGGGATTCAAGCCCAGGGCCACTAGCATCAAATTGTGAGTCTCTGAAATTATAAAATGTTAATCAGGGGAATTATAAATATAAAACAGGCACCAAAATTGGGCTTTGTAGAAATAGAGATACTCCTTGAGTAGTCTCCAGGCTATTACATTTTTAAAGAGAGAGTATGGTACCATGGAACAGGACTAAAATTAAAAGTCTTGCCACTAGCTGTCTTATCTTAGACAAACATTTAAACTCTCTGTAATGTAAAAGATCTTAGATTTTAAAGGTGTTCAACTGCAACTGTTGTTCAGTCATTTTTCAATCAAGTCCAATTCTTCATGACCCCATTTGAGGTTTCTTGGCAAAGATACTGGAGTGGTTTGCCATTTCCTTCTGCAGCTTGTTTTATAGATGAGAAAACTGAGGCAAACAGGGTTAAGTGACTTGCCCAAAGTCACACAGCTAGTAAGCGTCTGAAGTGGAATTTGAAGTCATGAAGTTTTCCTGACTCCAGATCCAGCACTCTGTGCACTATAGCACGACCTAGCCACCCTTCAACGGCAGTGGCTCCCCGCTAAATGTGTGAAAGGCTTTAGCCAAAGTTGCAAGTAGTGAGCAACAGAACCAGAATTTGAACCCAGGGCTTCTGACTCCCAAATCACTGTCCTTTCTGTGACACCATTGTAGAGTCGATGAGTGCTAAGATGACATCCTGCCCTAAAATTATGTGAGATAGTCTAGACTCATGCTAGGACCAGTCTTTTTCAAGCTGTGTGAAGGGAGAGCCCATATTGAGAGATTTTGATATTGGACCCTAATGAGAAAGGAGGGATGGATTGAGAGAGATGCTTCTGCACGGAGTACTTGGATCAGTAAGGTAACAATATTGAAATGTAGAGCAAATTTACTTCCATTCTTCTGTGAAGAGATGTTTATACACAATATAGGAAGAACTTGCATGTACGTGACGAGTGGAAAATCTCTTCTGTGAATCATACCCACTTGTCTAATTTCCCAGGACTGGGCCTCTTGGTACTGGTCTTACGTTTAATTTGTCTTCTTTCATTGATTTTGGGTCTGAAGTCAAGATGAATGATCACATCACCCTTGATTGAAGTTAATGAGACTTTTAGGAGAAAGTTAGATTTTTATAAGAGCCTTGAAGAATAGAAAGGACATAACTTGCTACAGATAGATAGAAAGGGTGATTTCAAGAATAAAGAATGGCAAAGGGAGGGAGCCAGTGTACTTAAGATAGAGGACTCTTGACATCTCCTGTAGTAGCAGATTACCATACGGCAATCATTTCAAGATTCCTTATTATCATTTAAATTGCCATCAGAGAACACCAGCTTGTGATGCCGCCAAGCACAGTGTGAATTAGGTAATAATCCTCATTGGAATTGTGTTTCTTGCCATTCTGATAACTTCCCACGGTGTTCTCATTGACAATTGAGGCCTTATCCTCCAGTTTATTGCTGTTGTAGGCCAATGCTAACTCAAGTCTGGAGGGCACTTTTAGTGAATGTAGTGGATTATAGGGAGGGATCTCCTCTCCCTCCCGCCTACCCCCTGGACACCTCACTCCCCACTCCCCATCTCTCCACGACCCATTCCACCTTCAATCCACAGGAAAGGCAGTAACCATTCCAGAGAGTAGACTCCTGGTTTAGCTGCCAGGAGAGGAACTCTGGAGGAGCTCACTTCACTGTCTTCACTTCTTTGGAGAAGAATTTTTCATTCAGCTGTGTTGATAACAGAATTTTAAAAATATACTTCTATTGGAGATTCGGGTTCAGAAGCATTGAAAAGCACTAAATATTTATTATTTTTAAAAATTTTTTCCAAACATCATCTATGCATTTATTAGTAATCCTAGTCAAATTAGGTAGATGAAGATTCACACATACATCTGTCTGTATGGTAAACATCTAGTATACAATTGAGGCAACGTAGTGGCCTTAAAGTTAGAAAGAACTGGGTTCAGATTCTGCCTCTGAAACACATACAAGCTGTGTGATTGTGGTCAAGTCACTGAACCTTTTAGTACCTTTGGTACAGAAAAGTCTGCAGTATTATAGATTGCAAAGGAGTTGGAATCTGCCTTTGTGGGACTGAGAGAGTGGCCACACTGGGAGATCCACACATTGATGGAATTGGAGGTATAGCTACGTCTACCTAACTCACCAATCAGATGAGTACTTTCTCTGAATCTGTAAGTAATTTCATACATATACATATATATACACACACATACATATATACATGAGTGTGATGTAGATATAAAATTTATGCATTATTTTATATACTGTATTATGTTAACATATTTTCATATATATAATATATGAATATATAATATATTTTGTATATATATATATATATTTTTTTTTGGTGAGGCATTTGGGGTTAAGTGACTTGCCCAGGGTCACACAGCTAGTAAGTGTCAAGTATCTGGTCTGAGTCCAGATTTGAACCCAGGTCTTCTTGACTGCAGGCCCGTTGCTCTATCCATTGTACCACCTAGCTGACCCCTACATATTTTCTATACACATAATATTTGTGTGTTTTATATATACTATGCATTATATATTCTATGTTGTATTATATCGTGTACATATACATAACACTCATATGTTTGGACTGCACTTATGATTTCATTGATACAGAGAGCTCTCTGGCAACGCAACTAACTCCTACTAATTCAAATTAGCAAATGCTCTGAGTCTTAATAGTCTTAGATAATTTCATGGACAACCATCCAGGGTCATTCATCCAGTTTGTGTCAGGCAAGACGTGAATCTTGGTCTTCCTGACTCTGACGCCAGATCTCTGTCCGCTGAGCAAAGGTGCCCTAGTTGTCCGACCCCCTTCCCGTCTCTGGGATGTGGGCTCCCTAAGCTGCGGCCCCACCGCTTCTGCTGCTGCTGCTGCTGCCTCCGTATGTGTAGTTTCTGATCAGGCTTCCACTGCGAGTCACAGACTTCTTCTGTGGATGTCCCGAATGTTCTTAGGCCAGAAAAGTGTCTCCCCTTGACCTTTGGTTGGCTCTGCCACTCCAAAATTTGATTTGAGGCATGATTTTAAAGTTTTTGGTGGGCAGTGTTGGGAAGGTTTGGCTGGTTTGCCTCTACTCTGCCGTCTTGGCTCCTCCTCCTCTTAGAAATGGCAACTCTTGTAGAAGCGTGATTTGTGTATGATCCAGCATCAACATCAGTAGAACAAAGTGAACCCGTGTACTCATGATTCAGGTCATTTGAATGTAGTTTGCATTTTTGGATTCCCAGGCATGTCCAGTACAGAAGGAACTGTGCATAACAATCACAGCTAAGTGGGTTGGTCTGGCAAAGGCATAGAAAAACCACCAGACGATGAAATGCAAAAGGGCTGTGGACCCCAGCAGGGACCTTCTGGGTGTTTTCGAGGGGGATTAGTGGGTGGGAGAGTTATTAGGCCCCTAGAAATGGGGAAAGTTGCTGGGCCCGGTCTATCAGGGCCTTCCCCCCGTATGTCAAAGCCAGAAATCCATGGTCATAACTCCATAGACATTAAGCAGCAAACCCAAGGCATAAACATACCAGGTTTTTGTTGTTCAAATCTCAGCCTCCTCAGCCTGCTTCTTGCCTTCAGTCAAGAGCAGAGCAGCTGTAAACTCAAGCACTTAATATGTTGCTGCTTTGGAAGCCTCCTATTCTCCAGAAGGCCCAGCCCCTAACGGGTTTTCTACACCATCCTTTTCCCAAGATAGATACTTTCCTCCTCCCTGTTAGTGTCCTCCCTCCAAAGTTACGTTGTATTTATTTTGCATATTCTCATATGGGTACATGTCTCCAATCATAAATAATAATGCAGATTATAATAACTTATAATATATTTTATATATAATATAATAGTTTATATACTGTTTTAAACTTTGCAAAGTGGTTTACAATATTACTTCATTTGATCCTCACAACAACCTTGAAGGAGGCACGGAGTGCTGTTATCATCCCCATTTTACAGGTGAGGAGTGACCTGCCCAGTGACTGCTAGTTTGTTATCTGAGGCTGGATTCTAACTCAGATCTATCTGACTCCAGACCCAACATTTTATGCTCTACACTATCTAATGACGACATCTCCAAGGCTGCTATTACTATACCATCTCTATGAGGGTAACCATTAAAAGCATTTTAAATTCATCATTTAATATGTAATTAAATTCATAATATAATTTAAACTGATTTATCACACTTTAATAACATTATGATAGAACTCAATTACTATATGCAACAATGGTTTTGTACACCTGCCCCCCTCACTAGCCAGTCTCCTCAGACAAAGACAATTCTTTCTCTCAAACAGCTTGGCTGCAAGGTGATGAGATTTTTTTCAGCCACAGAAACTCTCAAAGACAAACCATTCCAGTGAGGTGGCAATCAGTATCAGTGAAGGAAAAACGCACTCCAAGACTATCCCAGTTTCTTCAAATTTTGAAGTATTCCTTGAAGATCTTAAGAATTAACAAATCTGAGTAAAGACTAATGAAGTAGATGAAGTGGAAACTGACTCAAACAATCCAGGGAGAGAGATGAAATAGCTGCATAGGATGGTCCACTGGTCTCCAAATAGCAATCAAAGAAAGTGACTGAAATTAAACAACAAATCCACTTCTAATACTGATTGCCACCTCACAAGGATGGTCTGTTTTTGAGACTTTCTGTGACTGAAAAAATCTCATCACCTTGCAGCCAAGCTGATGATAATCCTTTAGAAGGAATGTTGTCCCCCATCTTTTATCCTGGGGTAGAGGGAGAAGGAAGTATAATAATAGCCTTAAAAATAAACAGTTTATGGATTTCTTTTAAAAAAAAATCACCTCATTTCAGTCCCTTCTGACATACTTAATGTTACCTTGTAACCAAATGAAACCAGTAAGCAAAATGAACCAATAAATTTAATGTGATATTCTTCTCCCATAGTTCCCCACCTACTACAAACAGAATTATATTTCATCCCCTGTCCTTAAGGAGCATTGGAGGCCATTCCAATGAGTATGGCTGGTGGAGTTTATCTGAGTTTAGCTGCCTTTTAGCATTGCATTTGTTTATATAATTATATTCCAGGTAGGTTAGTCTGCTCTTTCTGCCTTTACCCCTCAGTTTCAGTTCATAAAAGTCTTTCCAAGTTTTTTCTGTGTTCATCATTTGTCTCTGCTTGGTGCAGCCTTTCAACGATGGATGGGCACCCAACTGTTTCCAGCTTTTGACTAATATAAAAAAAGATTGCTTCTCAAATCTTGCAAAGACATGCTCTTGAATGAGACCATAACTCACAGCTAAACCCTAGATCACTTTGCTTTTTAATGTAATAGACCTATCACTTCTACCTGTAACTTGGGTGGCAGACCCTTTATTGATAGATTCTCCCCAGGAGTACTCAGATCTGCCCCAATTTTCCTACTCTATGTGGGAAATAAAAGCCACTGTTCCTTTAATCTAACAGAAGTGAGGTAGGGTTAAGATAACACGTTAATGAGGAAGAAGGAACACTGATTTTTAAAAGAGAAGGGTGCAAGTTTGGGGGGTGGCAGATAGGTGGGACAGTGAATAGAGCTCTGAGCTTGGAATCAGAGACTCATCTTTATGAGTTAAAATCTGGCCTCAGATTCTAGCTGTGTGACCCTGGGCAAGTCATTTAACCCTGCTTACTTCAGTTTCCTCATCTGTAAAATGAGCTGGAAAAGGAAATAGCAAACCACTCCAGTATCTTTGCTAAGAAAAATCCAAAGTGGGTCACGAAGAGTCAGACATGACTGAACAACAACAACAATTTTAGGGGCATTAGAGATGCAATAAAACATGTTCATTTAAAAACTGATCTCACCATTGTCAGGGAATGCATTTTCTCCCTTAATCTCTGTAAGCCTCAAAGGAAAATGCCCTTCTCCCACACAGGTTTGCAAAATGTAGTGTGTCAGAAATCCCTTGATCAGAAAAGGCTAGTAGCACTTTGGGGGGGGGCCTTCATTACTCACCAAAACATGATCCACTGAGCCAGACCTTTGGTTGGGATCAGGGCACACCTGGGGAAGGAGAGGATATACACTTAAAAAAAATTCTCTGCTCTAGAAGGCAAAACCAGAATGACATGATTTGACATAGGAGACTTTTACTTCATGGAACATTTCTAATATAATACTGTTCTGTCTCAAAGCATAGTAAATAGTTGGCTCAGTGTCCAGCCTGTGACATGGTAGAAAGAGTACCAACTCTGGCGTTCTGAGGAAACTGGGTCTTATTTTTTGGCGAAATAGGTGGGGAGGGAGGATGAGATTGGACTTAATAACCTCTGAGGAGTCTTGCAATTCTTCATGGTAGCATCCTTCAGGTAATTGACAGAAGCCGTGAGACTTATTTTTCCTCACTATTAAGACATAGACTGTTCAGTAGACACTGTTCAGAGTGAGATTTTAGGTTTGGAGAAAGAGAGATATTTGGAAATAAAGGTGATAGAAAAACAAAAAATGCTAATAAAAATGCAAGTGGTTGATAAACTATCAGATTGTCAAAGATGGCCAAAAAAAAAAGAACATGACAGATGGTGGAAACACTACTTGAAAACAGGAATATTAATGTATCATTGGTGGAACTGTGGATCTGTCTAGCCATTCCAGCCCAAAGTCACCAAACTATGTATATCCTTTGACTGATGATAATACTACCATGCCTATAACCCAAAGAGATTTAAAAAAAAGGACCTGCTTGTAATATAATATATATACACATATGTACATATGTATGTATAAAATACACACATAAACACACTCACATAACCTCTTTTTGTATAGGCAAAAAACTGGAAACAAAAGGGATGCCCATCAGTCAGAGAATGAATATAGTAGGTAAGTCTAATGGAGTGCTATTGTTTCATAAGAAATGAAGAAAAGAATGGTTTCAGAGAAAGCTAAGAGGACTTGTATGAAGTGATGCAAAACCATGAAAACAATTTTAAAATCAATACAAACAACTTGAAAGCTTAAGAATTCTGATCAATGCAATGACCAACCGTAATTCCAGAGAACTAACCATAAAGCATGTACCCCCTTCTTAGCAGAGAGGTGATGATTAAAGGTATAGAATGAGACCTACTTTTTTAAATGGCTAATGTAAGAATTAGTTCTACTTGACTGTGAATATTTATTACAAGGGCTATATTTTTCTTTTTCTTTTTTAATGCAGAGGAAGTGGGAGGGAGAGAAAATAATTACATGATATTTGAAAGAATAACTTAAAAAATAAATTAAATGAGAGGTGAAACATTAACAAGTTTAGATGCTGAAGACACTTGCAAACCTGAAGAGGCAGTCAAATTAACACGAATAAGTCAGTCTTATCATCCCTGCCACTCATGCAACTTTGTACCCTTCCCCCAAACCTTCCAATGTGATAGGAAAAGAAGTGGAAATAGTGATGTTGATATTAGTGAAATGTTTGGGAAATGACCCCAGCCCTATAGTTCGTGAGGCAGTTTCAGAAAGTTGCCCTGTCAGTTAATAAGGCTTACTATCACAAACTTAACTAACATTGGAAGGGTGATTTCCAGCCAACAGGAAGGTACCAAGTATAGCCAGAGTATGTAAAACACCCAGAGATGGGGAGGAAGGGAAACAGACATACACATGACTCCCTTGGCTGCCTTCTCAAAAGTCAGGGTAACCTGCAAAGGCTTAAAGGAACACTGTAAAACTGAGTTTTGATGTTCTGATAATGCAGCCAACATACATTTTAAAGTGGGGTGGGGGGTGAGAGGGAAGGAAGTATGAGTAGGGAGTGTCTCAGTCTCTTTCCAACAGCAACAAATATTGTTCCAAAATAATGACCAATCTTTTACTATCATCAGTAAGGCACATTCTCCTTCTTCATGCCTTCCACTATATGCTTTTGTCCATACACCCATAAAGGCAGTGTACCTTAGCTCAGGAGTGAAGAACTAGTGTGCTATCCTCACTTTCTCTGATGCCCCTCCCTGACCATGGTGCTAAAAACATAGAGCCCACTAATTTCTGTTTTGTTTTTGTCCATTACAACTTGAAACTCTGTCTAGGTAAACTCGTCTGCACATATGGGAGTCTTATACCTGGCTGTGTAATTACACCAGCACACAGAGCAGCCTGGTCTTCAGAATTGGATAGAGGATAATTCTTTTTGGAGCACAAACGACTGAAATCTAAGAAGGATCAAGACAAACTGTGATGACTACCAATAATAACTGCCTCCAAGAGCCGAGATGGCTCTATCTCATAGAGATAGGATTGGTCCATTACCTTCTTCAGTCATGCCTCTCTGTGATGAGAGGAATCGTGGCATAACAGAGAAAGACCCGGGTTTAGGCCCTGCTTCTCACATTCGCCGATAGACTAGATGGTGGACATTAGGTGAGATGTTTAAACTTTGAGTGCCCCCACGCAATTCTCAAAGACAATATATTACAGATTAATTGCAAATTGCATTGGCAGAAGTAGACCCCACACCATGAGTTTCTTATACCATAGAAAGCACAATTAAAATAAACTGTATCTTTGAAAATCAGAGACCCTCTTATGAGGAGCAGCTAGCTGGTTCAGTGGATAGAGTATGGGACTTGACCAGAAAAACCTGCATTCAAATCCTGCCTCAGATACTTAGTAGTGGTATAATCCTGGGCAATTCACTTAACCTTGCTCAGCCTCAGTTCCTCATCTGTAAAATTAGGATAATAATAGCACCTACCTTACAGAGTAAAGTACTTTGCAAACCTTAAAGCCTATGTAAATGTTAGCTATTATTATTGCCACCACATTCCAAAAACAAAAGCTCTTGAACTTTTAATTAAATATCTGAATAATACTTCCTCACTCACTTCCCCCTTCTTTTATCCAGGGCTTAATTATGCCTAGAAAGCCAGACACAATAATGGCCCTCATAAGATCTGTTTAGTAGCACCCAGTGAAATTCCCACCCTCTACGTCACAAATAAACAGTGTTTTCCACTTCAGCAGCTACTCTCCAGACATAGATGGGCCCATTCTATGGAAGCTCATGGACGATTCACAGATTCACACACTTGGGAGTTGTGAGCAGAACACCAAGTCAATTATTTGCTACCAACATTCAGGTCATGAAGCCTGAGACATTTTGACAGTTTAAAAGCAAATTAAACACAGGGTGAAGGTCCAAGATAGGGTAAGGATACATATGTGAAACAGTAACCAGTAGCCAATGAATCTTGCTTTTAGTACTTTATAGGATTTGCTGCTATGTGGGGGATGGCCTTTGGTTTTATTAGCTGATCTGTGTTCTCTCTGGCCATGCCTGCTTTAATGTCTTTTAAAGCCATTGTTTTGGCTCTCAGGACTTCAGACCCTGAACACTTCTGATTCTCATACCATTTGCTACCTGTCCTAGACAGAGAGATTATTTGCATATTTTTGTATGTCTTTGCCTTCTACCTACATGGATATCAAGCTCCTGGACAGCAATGACTTTGTTTTATATGCTTATATTACCCATGGATCTCTATATCTTTGATAACTGATTGGTTAGAATTGTGTACAAGACTTCAGAATTCACCAAATAATAGTCACTTAAATTAGTAGAAACCCAATGTATGTGACAGCTTGGTGGTACAGTGGATAGAACACCAGACCTAGAACAAAGAAGACCTGAGTTCAGATCTGGTTTCAGATACTTACTAGCTATGTGACCCTGGGCAAGTCAGTTAACCTTGTTTGCCTCAACTTCTTCATCTGTTAAAATGACCTAGAGAAGAAAATGGCAAACCACTCCAGAATCTCTACCCAGAAAATCACAATTGGGGTCGTGAAGAGTTGGACATGACCAAAACGATGAACATCAATATATGCAAATCGTTAATCTGGCTAGGATCCAGTTTAGTTTGTGTTGTAAAGTAGGTGAAACAAGGCTTATTAATGTAGTTTAAAATTGCATTAATATGTTTAGTTTGTTTCCTTCTCCATGACTGTGGGAGAAGTTTGGGGAAGGAAGAGATATTGGAACTCATTTTTTTTTAATGTGTGTTAAAAAAAAGTTTAGCTTGACTAGTGACTACTTTCCTCTGAGAATGAGGTAGTGTGATTCATTGGAAAGAATACAGAATTTAGAGTTAGAGGACCTGGGTTCAAATCTTAGCTCTGCCACTTACTACTTCTGTTACTTGGGACAAATCATTGGATTTCTTTGAGTCTCGGTTTCCTTATCTGTAAAATGTTGCTGTGGACTCTAGGATTTCCAAAGTCCCTCCCAATTCTAAATCTATGATCTTTATTGTAAAGGGAAACCTTCTACTCAGCTCAAGTGGGATTATCATGAATTCAAATTAATGGAGTCCATAAATAATGATCATTATCCTTTTCCAAAGGGAGATATCCCAACACACCTTTCCCTGAAACAGTCCCTCATTTTTCTTGCTTCTCTCTGTATAAATCTAAGACATACATCTTTCACATAGCTTGTCAGGTTAAAAGGCTTAGATTTACCAACAAAGGTCAATTGACTCTGAATTAATAAATAGCTAATAAAATATACTTATTGCCACAGAGTATATCTATACTTATTTATAAATCCTTAGTGTTTCCACTATGACCAAAATAAATGATAATCTATTTCTGAAATCACAAGAAACACAAAAATGATCTGCAGAAAGTTATGAAAAGTTTTTGAAAATTCTGTAAGACACAAATCAAAGCTTTTAGTATATAAATCAATTTTTTCAACTGAGTTATTTGAGATATAATCAGAAAAGGTAGGACTGGATTTATTTTAAAAATTCTAATTTAGTCTTTGGTTTTGTTAATTCCTCTTTTCTTCTCCTCTCTGATGTCTAGGAAAGTCTTAGAAGACATCGCTACTTGAATTCATTTTCATCCAGTGACAATTCTTCTGCTGTCTATGGAATAAATCAGTTTTCTCATTTGTTTCCTGAAGAGTTTAAAGGTATAGTCTAATGGTACTATTTACTTCCTAATTATGATGAATTTTGTGTGTCTTTGTGAATTATTTCAGTTTCAGATTTATGAAGTGACATTAGGTAGAAAATTTCCATTATCTTTCAATTCAGTTGAACAAGCATTTCATAAGGATTTTCTATGTGCCAGACACTATGATAAGCTCTGGGGATATAAAACCAAAAATTAAATGATGCCTGACCTCAAGGAGTTTACATTCTACCGGGGAGAAGAGTAGTAGAATTATCATTGTCATTTCTACATCGACATCTTGGATAAGGATAGTTCTAAGCTCTAGACCAGAGGTTCTTAACTTTTATGTGTGTCAGAAATTGCTTTGGCAGTCTGGAGAAGTCTATCGACCTCTTCTCAGAATAATATTTATTACTTAGATTCATAATTAAAGAAATTCTAAATTTCATTTAAAGATTGCTGAAAATAAAGATGCTATTTTTTTCCATCCAAGTTCATAGACCCTTTGAAATCTAGACCCCCTACTCTAGATTTCCCTAGCTGACTCTGAAATATTTGTGTGCTCAACACTATAATTCAAGAAACAAAATCACCTCCTCTGCATTTTAGTTTATGTTTAGGAATGTTTGTTTGACTTTATTTTTCCTAGACTCTTAGGATCCTAGTGCCAGAAGGAATTTTGGAAATCACCTGCTTCATTTTATAGAGGAAGAAGTTGTGGTCTAGAAAAGTAAAATGTTTTGCCTGTGGTTACTTGTAGTTTGTAACTCTATGAAACGCACATTAAGTTCTAGGAAACAAAATAAACTCATTCTACATAGAAAAAATCAGTGATCAATCAATGAACACTTATCAAGTAGCTCGTATTTGCAAGGCACTTTGCAAAGTGATGGGGATACAATGAAAAAAATATATAACTCAGTTGCTGTCCTCAAAACACTTACATTCTTTAGTGTCTACTTTAGGAGCTTCCCTCTCTTTGTTTCCCCTTCAAAAAAGCTAATAATTGGGGCAGCTAGGTGGTGCAATGGATAGAGCACCAGCCATGGAGTCAGGAGGACCTGAGTTCAAATCTGACCTCAGACACGTAACACTTACTAGCTGTGTGACTCTGGGCAAGTCACTTAACCCCAGTTGCCTCACCAAAAAAAAAAAAAAACCAACAAAACCTAACAGTTCTTATTAAGTTCCACCCACTCCACAAAGTCTTTCCTAATAAAATAAATGTATACTCAGCATTTGTGCCCATTTGCCTTCTCATACTTTCTAAAATGCTGCATTTTTTTTTTTGCTTAAAGAACTTGAAAGTCATGATGAAAAATGCTCTCTGTCCCCAGAGAAAGAACTGATGAAGTCTGAATACAGATCAAAGCACACTTTTTTTTTTACTTTCTCTATTTTTCTTTTGGTCTATATTTTCTTTTACAACATGACTAATATGGAAATATATTTTGCATGACTATGTATGTATGACCTGTATCAAATTGCTTGACTTCTCTGTGAGGGTAGTGGGGAGGGTGGGAGAGAATTTGGAACTCAAAATTTTAAAAACTAATATTGAAAATTGTTTTTACATGGAATTGGGGAAAATAAAATACTAATGAACCTGGAAGAAAAAAAAGAACTTGAAAGTCTGAGTAGCATGGTGGAAAGAATATTGGATACCAAGTGAGGCAACCTGAGTTCTCATTCTGACCCTGCCAATAACTGGTTTCATGAGCTAGGACTTTTGCATTTGCTTTCCCCTTTATCTCCTTCCTCTTACTCCCTCTGTCTGTGTGTTACTTTATTAGAGAAATAAAGGCCAGAGAGGCCTTCAGGTTCTCGTCTATAAAATAAGAGAGTTTGGTTAGATTATCTCTATGATAGCAAGCTTATATTACCCATATGTAGCTGTGGGTGTGAATTTTTTGCCCTCTTACCAGTGATGAGTATAACAAAAACTTGGATGGACTAAAGAGTCATTGGTTCATATTAAGTTTGGAGTCCACTCAAATTATTCAGCTTTTTTATATAAGCAGCTATCAAACTGTGTCTAGTGAGGAATTTTGTATAATTAAATAGCCACCTTTAAATCTCTAAGCACCCAGGAGGTATTTGCAATTTGTTATATTTTTACTTTTAAAATTGGTGGATATGTTTGTTTTGACACAACACTTTCCAACAAACACCTAAATGAGCATCTCTAACAAAGCATATTCCCCCTTCCCCAAAGATTTAGTTTATTAGTTCATAAAAGAATACATCCTTTGATTTTAAAAGCATGCACTGACATTGATCATTGTATACGATTAAGGTGCTGTGGCTTCTCAAAATTGACTTCATTTGTATTGTAGTAACTGTGTATGTTCTTTTAGACCTGTTTTCCTCATCTGTATCACTTCACAGAAGACTTCTCCTGTTTCTCAGAATTCTTCTGATACATTGTTCCTTACAATGAAAGAATATTCCATTATATATATATTCATGTACTACATGATAAATATATATATATATATACACATATGGAGAGGGAGGGAGAGAAAGAGAGAGAGAGAGAGATGCTCTCAAAACATCTACTGCAGAGTGTAATAGGATTCAGAAAGGATGAACTTTAGGACTCTTATTGAGAAAGCTAATGTCTCAATATGTGAACAGCTTCCTGTAAAAACCCCAAGAACATCAAACAGGAAAAGTAATATTTATTTTAACTCCATTTTATTTTGGGGATTCAACTATTTGATTTTTTTTTAAATTGAATTCTATTTTATTTTCAGTTCTGAACTATCTTCCCTTCTTTTTCCTACCCTCCTTCACCTATTGAGAAGAAAAAGGAAAAGGAACCCTCACAAATGTATTTCGTAATGTCATACAAAATAAATTCTTGCATTAAGCATGCCCAAAGAAAAGAAGGAAAAAGAAAGAGAAGAAAATGTTTGAATCTACATAGTCTGAATCCATCAGCTCTATATATGGAGGTGGATAATATGTTTCACCATGAGCCCTTTGGAATTGTGGTTGTTCATTGTGTTGATCAGAATACTAAGTCTTTCAAAGTTGATTGTCTTTATAATATTGTTGTTACTGTGTAAGTTGTTCTCCTGGTTTTGCTCACTTCAATTTGCATCAGTTCATAAAGGTCTTCCATGGTTTTTCTGAAACTATCCCCTTCATCATTTTTTTCAGCATAATAGTATTCCATCACAATCATATACCATAACTTGTTCACCCATTCCTCAATTGATAGGCATTCCCTCAGTTGCCAATTCTTTGGTTTCCAAAACCAAAAAGTTTCTATGAATATTTTAGTACATAGGAGTCCTTTCCTTTTTTCTTTGATCTCTTTGGGGATATATATACTTTATTTGAACTTACTGCTCAAGTTAAAGCAAATACTTGGGTTTGGGAATTTCTAGAAAATTGGTACTGAGGAAAATAATACAGTCATGAGCTTTATTGTTATGTGACATAGCGAGCAGGCAAACAAAGCATACACACATACACTATATAGAAACAGGGGCAGCTAGGTGATACAGTGGATAGAGTGCCAGGACTGGAGTTAGGAATACCTGAGTCCAAATCCAGCCTCAGACACTTACTAGCTTTGTGACCTTGGGCACATCACTTAACTCTGTTGGTTTCCATATCTGCAAAATAAGCTAGAGAAGGAAATAGCAAACCACACCAATATCTTTGTTAAAGAAAACCCCAGGGACAGCTAGGTGGCACAGTGAGCACTGGTCCTGAAGTCATGAGTACCTGAGTTCAAATCCAGCCTCAGACCAAACACTTGACACTTACTAGCTGTGAGACCCTGGGCAAGTCACTTAACCCCAATTGCCTTAAAGAAACAAACAAACAAAGAAACCAAGTGGGATCATGAAGAATTGGACACAACTGAAATGACTCAGCAACAACAAAATATGAAAATATAAACAAACAGAGGTTTCTTCCATGTGGCGGGAACTCAGCCCAGACTGAGAGTGAGGAAAATGTGCTGGAGAGGGAACACATTCATAATTAGGCTTCAGGTGGCAAGATTATATAGCCTAAGAATGGGTACAGTTGAGAACCAGTAATCAGTGTAGGATGTTGGAGAGGGCATTCTTAATCAGCCCCAGATGTGGTGGAAGAGTTATTGGAATCACATATTGATACCAGGCTTGGGTGAAGCTGAGGTAGGGAGAGTTTCTTTATTGGAACCAGAAATAATGTTCGCTATCAAAGGCAGCAAGAGGAGAATGACTCCAGGCTCCTGAAACAAGCCAAGAGTTTGTTTAATCAAAAAGCTGCAATCTTTCTCTACCTGATACAGAATCAATAGTAGAAAGGTACAAACTGAATATGTTTCTATGAACATTAGGACCTCTTAGGCTGAGGGATGCCATATTGAAGTTCTATCATTGTAAATATCACATCAATCGATATAAAGTTTACAGTTTTCGCAACAGACCTGGTAGTGATATTGTGGGGCCAAAGGCACGCTTTTAGGGCACAGATGCAAATTGCCTTCTGGAATGATAGGACTAGTTCCCAGCTTCACCAGCATAGGATTAGTGTGCCCACTTCCTCACAGCTCCTCCAGCACTTGTTCTTTTCTTTGTTTGTCATCTTAGTGAACCTGATGGGTATGAGATAGCACCTCGGAGTCGTTTTCTTTGCATTTAATGAATTATTCATGATCTAGAGAATTTTACATAGAGCTATTAATAACTTGGATTTCTTCCTCTGAAAAATGCCTATTCATATCCTTTGACCAGTTATAAATTGGGGAATAGTTTTTTTTCTTGTAAATTTGACTACATTTCCTATTAAAAATGAGACTTTTATCAGAGGAATTTACAAGATTTCCCCCAACCCCATTTCCTGCTTTTCTTACAGCTATCTATTTGAGAAGCAAATCCTCTGAACTTCCATTATGTAATAAAGAAGTAAAGATGCCAACCGCACACATGCCTTTGCCAATAAGATTTGACTGGAGGGATAAGCATGTTGTAACAAAAGTAAGAAACCAACAGATGGTGAGTACTGGCTTCCTCTCTACTTTCTTTCCTTTCCTCCCATTTTCCTTATTGTTAAGTAATAATTTTAAATACTGAACCAATAAGTGTCCATTTTCATTGGGTTTATAGGATCATCATCAGATCATAGATTTAGGGCTGGAAGGGATCTTAGAGGTCATCTCGTCCAATCTTCTCATTTTACAAGTGAGGAAACTGAGGCCCACAGAGTTCAATGACTTGTCCATAGTTACACAGGTCGTAAGTGACAAAAGCAAGATTTGAACTCAAGCCTTCAGATTCTAGATTCAGTGCTCTGTCACTGTACTACCCTTCTTCTTCAGGAGATGTTCTCTCCTCTTTCTTACCTCTCACTTCTGCCAATTGGCAGCTCTTAGTATTATTAATTTTGGCCTCGACACATGGATCTTGTATCTATTGTTCTCAAACAGCAATTTAGCTGAGAGTTCCTGATTCTCACTCCCCTTTCCCTCCAGGATCAAGTATAAAATTCTCTGTTTGGCTTTGAAGGCCTTTCAAAATAACCTGGCTCCTGCCTAGCACCCTGTTCTTCTTACACCTTACTCTCCTCCACGTACTCAGCAATTCAGTGACACTGGGTTTCCTTGTTGTTCATCTGACTAGACGTTCTGTGTCCCAACTCGGAGCATTTTTACTAGCTGTCGCTCATGCCTAGAGAATCTCTCCTTCCTCATCTCCTCCTCCTAGCTTCATTGACTTCCTTCGGATCACTGCTAACATCCTACCTTCAGCCAGAAGCCTTTCCCAGGTCTTTTTAATGCTAATGCTTTCCCTCTGTGGATTATTTACAATTTTCTTTGTGTGTATATGTATGTATGTATGTATGTATGTATACGTATATGTATACACAGAGACAGAGACAGAGAGAGAGAGAGTTTGTACGTAGTTGTTTGCTTGTCTCCCCATTAGACTGTACATTTCTTGAGAGTGGGGATTGTTTTATTTTTACCTTTATTTTTTAATAGCACAATGCATAGAATATGTTTTTTGGTCATGTCCAACTCTTCATGACCCATTTTGGGGGTTCCAGGGACGGTTTCTTGGCAAAGATACTTCAGTGGTTTACCATTTCCTCCTCTAGGGGATTAAGGCAAACAGAAGTTAAGTGACTTGCTGGTAGTCACACAGTTCGTAAGAGTCTGAGGCCAGATTTGAACTCAAGTGTTTCTGACAGCAGGCCTAGTGCTCTGTCCACTGAGCCTTCTAGCTGCCTCATGCCTAGCATGTAGTAAGCACTTAATAAATGATTGTTGATATTTTTTTTCTATAAAACTAACTATAAGCAGTACCCAGGCTCTTAATGAGTTGTCAGATTCCTATGTAAGTCTTAGAAATGTAAATCCCTTTGAGACAAGGATTACATTTTCTTTTTTTTTTAATTAATTTATTTTTAGTTTTCAACAATCACTTCTATAAGCTTTTGAGTTTTAAACTTCCCTTCCTGCCTCCTTCCCTAAGATAGCATACAATCTGCTACAGGCTATACATATACATTCCTATTAAACATATTTTCATATTAGTCTTGTTGTAAAGAAGAATTAGAAGCAATAGGAGGAACCACAAGAAAGAAGAAACAGAAGAAGGAAAAAAAAGATCAAGTAGTATGCTTTGATCTGCATTCAAAATCCATAGTTCTTTCTCTGGATGTGGATAAGGATTACATTTTCTACGTAACACATACATGCGTATCAAATCCACAGCTGGAAAGGAATCTTAGAAGTCATTTAGCCTAACCTCATTTTACAAAGGCAGCAATATGGCACAGTAAATAGAGTGCCAGGGCTAGAGTCAGGAAGACCTGAGTTCAAATCCGCCCTCAGACATCCACTAGCTGTATGACCCTGGGCAAGTCACTTAACCCTCTTTGCCTCAGTTTCCTCATCTGTAAAATGTGCTAGAGAAGAAAATGGCAAACCACTCTTTACCGAGAAAACCCCAAATGAGGTCATAAAGAGTTGGACACAACTGAAAACGACAAGAGATTTTGCAAGTGAGGAAACTAAGGCCTATGGAGATAAAGTGAATTAATTACCTAAGCTCACACTGATATTAAGTTACAGAACTGGGATATGGTCCCAGGACTTCTACGTCCAAATTAAGTGCTTTTTCACCAACCTATTTGTTTGGAACTCAGAATATATATATATATTTTTTATCCAAAAAAAAAAAAGGAGGGGCATTAATAATAACACATTTCTTTAGGGCTTAAAGTTTAAAAAAGGTATTTTCCTCACCACAATCCTATGAATTACTGTAAATATACTCTCCTTTCTCTGCAGATGACAGAAGTAGTGTTCAGAGGGGTAAAGTGCTTTGCCTAAGGTCTAACAGCTAGTCAGCATCAGAGTAGAAATAGGATTCTGGTTTTGTAGAAAGAGGCAACATTGTGCAGTGCAAAGACTTTGAGCTAGAGACCTGCGTTTAAATCCAACCTCTGATGCTTATGTAACTGTGAGACCTCAAGTAAGTCACTTAATCTCTCAGCTTCAGTTTCCTCACCTGTAAAAAATGGGAAAATAATCCTTGTACCACGTGTCATAGCACCAGATGACAAAAATGCTGTGCAAACCTTAAAGTGATATATGTTAATTGCGGTGATAATAATAACTAGTATTTATATGTTCCTTTAAGCTTTGCAAAGAAAGCATTTTTACATGTATTATCTCATTTAATCTTTACAACATCTGTGTGATGTAGGTACTATTTATTAACCCCATTTTATAGATGAGGAAACTGAGGCAGGCATCACGCCTAGGATCACACAGCTAGTAATTGTCTGAGGCAAGATTCTAACTCAGATATTCCTTTCACCGAATCCAGCATTATACCCACTGTACAGTTCAATGGTGACTACTCCAAGGCCATTATACCACACCACCTCTACCAGAATAACCGAGTAAAGCCTTTTAAGTCCATGATGTAGCTGAATGACAATGCTGTAATAGCATGAGAAAAAGTAATCGCCATGTGTAGCAATGGCTTTATGCTACTAGAAAATATATTCAGAGTTCCAGTTTAGGATACAAAGGACACATGTCCCATCCATCTATTAGCTGGTAGGAAACAGGATTCAAGAGCAGGGATACCACCTATGGTTCCAAGCCACTGATGTTAGCTCTATGCCCTGGGGTAGAGTGAAGACAAGGTGCAGAGCTGGCGGAGTGAGAAATTGGACGAGGAAGCCAGTTTCCGTCATTGAGGCAGACATAGCCTGTTTTGAGATTCTCTAAGAAGAGAAATACAGGATTGAGAAACTTCCTTCTTTTCTCTCCACCATCTACACACACACTCATACACACACACACACACACACACACACACACAGACACACACACACACAGACACACACACACACACACACACACACAGAGGAAAGATCTTGAGATCACTGAAAATATAACTTGTAGATCAATTACATATGATGGTTTGGAAAATAGGAAGCCTTGGGACAGCTAGGTGGCAGGGTGCCGGCCCTGGAGTCAGGATGACCTGAGTTCAAATCTGGTCTCAGACCAGACATTTGACACTTACTAGCTGTGTGACCCTCGGCAAGTCACTTAACCCCAATTGCCTTGCCAAAAAAAAAAAAATAGGAAACCTGTATCCATTTGATTTTGCCTTGGTGGACAATTAGTGCAGACTCTTGAGAGCTTACAGCTCTCATTTTGGAGTTTCTTCAGTGGTTTGAGGATTGATGCAATCATCAAAGTTTGATTATCCAATAAGAGTATGCAGAGGACCTCACTGCAGAAGGAATCTTTCTTTTGGATTCTGTGCTAGATATCATCCATGACAATGATAAACACCTTTGGTGAACATTGTTTACCAGCTGTGTGACAACGATTCAGTCATTTAACATTTCTGAGCCTCACCTTCCCCATCTGTAAAATGGAGGTAAAATAATACCTGTGTGCTACCTATCTTACGAAATTGTTGCGAGATTCAAATAAGCTAATACATATGAAGAGCTTTGCAAACTTTAAAGCGTTACCTAAATGCGAATTTTTATTATTATCTTAAAATATGCATAGAAGGCACCTTATTGAATGAAAGCCTTTAAAGTAGCATTCTATTTCACCAAGTCATTTTTTTTTAAATATTGAACAAATATAAGTACAGTGAGATTTTTTTTCTCTGTAGCTTTCAGTCCACTGGATGGTTATAGAAACAGAGTCTGCTGTAAAATATTATTTTGCAAAATTCTGCCTTGCATATTTTTCTTTAGGATGCAACCAACACATGCATAAATTATCTTCTTATAGATGATGATGTAGGTGCTTCGGTTGGTAGTGATTGATGTTAACTCACTGTTCTTTTTCTTATGATAATACTCATATTTATATAGTAAATGGTTGCTATGAGGTTCAAATGAGATAATATATATAAAATGCTCTGATAATTTAAGGTGTTACACAGTTGTCACCCATCATTATTGCTGAAATGATTTGGATCAATCGAGTCTCAGGGCAAGCTTTCTGTAAGCTCACTTTTCTCTCCACTGCTTCATGTTGTTTTTGTGATTCCCTGAACAAGATACTGAGTCTCTTGGCTCCAAGTATTTTCTCTGGCTGTTCCACATGCCTGGAATGCTTTTCCTCGTCCTCATCCACCTCTTAGCTTCCCTGACTTCCTTCAAGTCCCAATGAAAATCGCACAGAACACCTTTCCCATGCTCTTAATTCTAGTGTCTTCCTTCTGTTGATTATCTCCTATGTATTTTCTACGTAGCTTTTTTGTACCCCTTTGTTTGCATGCTATCTCCCCCTTAGGATTATGAACTCCTCAAGAGTAGGGGTCATCTTTTACTTTTTTAATATCCTCAGAGCTTAGCACCATGCTTGGTACATAGTAGGCACTTAATAAATTCTTGTTGACTGCTGACTGACTTTGAACACTCAACAGAGTATTTTATATTTGATCTTGGAGGTAATGGGGGTAGGGGGTAGGAATGCCTGCATTTTGTGAGGATCTAAGTCTCCTAAATAGCCTTCTATATAAGCTGCTAAAGATGGTCATTCTCAGCACTTTAGAAGCCTTTTCTGCCAAACTGCCACTGTCATTGGAGAAACAGAAGAGGACCTTGTAGGATTGAGGGCCATTTTGTATTTTTCTTTGTTTCCTGGATTGCTATGGATTTAATGGTGCAGTACTGAGGGGCCAGTCTATGGGTGATGAGCCTCTCCGTACTTAGGACCTGTCTGAGTTTTTATTCACCCAGCATCACCTTGGAGAACACAGGAATTATCCACACTACACTGAGGTATTGGGGTGGGACTATAATGGAAGACCCAGCAATTTTTTCATAAATTTTTACATTTCTCAATTCTCTTTGTTTGTCAGTCCTACGAGGTTCATGGGGCAAACATTATTGCATTTCACTGAGAAGGAAATAATAGCCATAAAAAAGGTAAGCAACTTTCCCTAGGTTACACAAGTAGTGGCAGACCCAAATCTGTCCTGAACCCTAGCCCAGTTTGCCCACCATTTGCATACTTTGTCAGCCAATGTGTAATTCAAAGTCTGCTTCCAATATATAGCTAGTGATGGGAAATAATTTATTGCCTTAGATAAGACTGGAGGCAAATTTCTGTAGGCCAACTTAAACTTTACTTTTCCTCAGGGTGTGTGGAGAGCAAACTGTCTGATAATAAATAGTATTCTTCTCTTTTTAAATAGTGTGGAGGATGTTGGGCGTTCAGTGTCGTGGGTGGAATTGAATCTGCTTATGCAATCAAAGGGGAGTCTTTGGAAGACTTGAGTGTCCAACAAGTCATTGATTGTTCATACAACAATTTTGGCTGCAGTGGTGGTTCTACTGTTAATGCCTTGAACTGGCTAAATAAGGTATTCCATTTTTAACTTTTTCCTAATTACTTCCTACTGCTATACTTTATTTGTCTTACATACCAAAAATACAAACAATTTGCACAGTCTCTTCATTATCCTAATTTATAGAGGTTGCATATTACCTGTGTTAAATTGAGTCATTGGTTCTAGAGTACAGGAAGGGTAGTCCTCCTGACCTGTTCCCTGCTCAGAGTATACCTCGATTGGGACCTCAGTCCACATTTTGAGAAGAATGGATATAGTAGGATATTGTCCAGATGACTATGACTAGGTTGGTGAAGAGCCTTTATGTAATATCAGCAAGGCAACATGATGCGATGAATAGAGTACTGGACTTTGAGTTAGTAAGGCTTGGTTTTAGTCCCAAACACTTACCAGTTGTACTTGGGAAATCACTTAATCTTTCTCAACCTCAGTTTCCTCATCTGTAAAATGAGTGTTGGGCAGAGACAAGATAGCGGAGAAAAAGCAGTTATAGCCTGAACTCTCCCTAAATCCACTCTAAACAACTTTTCAAAACACCTCAAAATGAATTCTAGAGTGACAGAATTCACAAAAGGTTGGGGTGAAACAATTTTCCAGCCTAAGACAACTTAGAAGGACTTCAAGGAAAGGTCTATCTCACTCGGATAAAAGGTGAGCACAGCCCAGTGCAGGCGGTGTCCAGGCAAGCCAGCAGGAGGCAATGAGCCCCAGCACAGGTCAGCAACAGAGACCCCATGGCCCTGACACAGCAGGCCAGTGGAACAGTGAACCAGTTGTGAGGCCTCCTATCCTTTATATAGCAGGTGAGTGGCCAGGACCTTGGCTTCTAGCACTAGAAGTGTGGGACAGTGCTAAAAAGAGGACAGCAATGTCAAAATGCCTACATGTAAAGCGTCAAAGAGAAATATGAATTGGTCTCAGGCTCAAAAAGAACGCCTGGAAGGATTCAAAAAGGATTTAAAAAATCAAATAAGAGAGGTAGAAGAAAAATTGGAAAAAGAAATGAGAGTAATGCAAGAGAATCATGGAAAAAGAGTCAACAACTTGGTAAAGAAAGTACACAAAATGGAAAAAAATGTACATAAATTCACTGAAGAAAACAATTCCTTAAAAAGTAGAAATGATAAATGGAAAAGGAAATACAAAAGCTAACTGAAGAAAATAATTCCTTAAAAATTAGAATTGAGCAAGTGGAAGCCAGAATCAACCAAGCAAAATCAAAAGAATGAAAAAAATTGAAGAATATGTGAAGTATTTCATTGGAAGAACAATTGATTTGGAAAATAGATCCAAGAGAGATGATTTAAGAATTATTGGACTACCTGAAGGCCATCATTAAAAAAATAAAATAAAAGGCCTGGACAGCATCTTTCAAAAAATTATCAAGGAATACTGCCCTGATATACTAGAACCAGAGGATAAAATATTAATTGAAGAAACCCACAGATTACCTCCTAAAAGAGATCCCAAAATGAAAACTCCCAAGTATCTAATAGTCAAATTCCAGAACTCTCAGGTCAAGGAGAAAATACTGCAAACAACCAGAAAGAAAGAATTCAAAATCAAGGAGCCACAGTTAGGATTACACAGGATCTAGCAGCTTCTATGTTAAAGGATAAGAGGGTTTGGACCGTAATATTCCATAAGACAAAGAAGCTTGGATTACAAGCAAGTATCGCCTACCCAGCAAAACTGAACATAATCCTTCGGGGGAAAAAATGAACAGTCAATGAAATAGAACATAAAATAAACCCACATATTTTATCAGTATTTCTATATATTATCAACAAAGTCTGGCAGCAAGAGATGGAAAGAGCAATTCTTTTTAAAATAGCTATAGAAGATATAAAATGCTTGGTAGTCTTACCTGCCAAGACAAACTCAGGAACTATATGAACACAATTACAAAACACTTTTCACACAAATAAAGTCAGATCTAAACAATTGGAAAAATATTAATTGATCATGGATAGGCCACAGCAATATAATAAAGATGGCAGTTCCACATAAATTAATTTACTTATTTGGTGCCATGTCAATCAAGCTACAAAAAAATTATTTTATGGAGCTAGAAAAAATTCTAACAATTCATCTGAAAGAACAAAAGGTCAAAAATATCAAGGGAATTAATGAAAATAAATGTGAAGGAAGATACTAGATCTCAAACTGTATTATAAAGTGGTAACTATCAAAACTGTCTGGTACTTGTTAAGAAATAAAGTGGTGGGGTGGCTAGGTAGTGCAGTGGATAGAGCACCAACCCTGGATTCAGGAGGACCTGAGTTCAAATCCGGCCTCAGACACATATCACTTACAAGCTGTGTAACCCTGGGCAAGTCACTTAACCCCATTGCCTAACCAAATAAAAATAAAATAATAATAATAATAATAATAAAATAAAAAAGAAATAAAGTGGGGATTCAGTGGAATAGATTAGATACACAAGACTCAGTAGTAAATGACTATGGGTTGGGAGGCTGCCTCGGCCCAGCCACAGGAACCTTTACCCCTGGGGATAGTGAGGGGAGTTGGGCATCTGAGCTGGGGAAGATTGAGGGAACCCTTGCTGACAAGGAATGCCAGACCCAGCTGTGCTGCAGAGACTCAGCTGGGGGTGAGAAGAAACCAGCATTTACCAGGTGAGTGCAGAAGTAGTGGGGTAGGGACACACTGGCTATGGCACTTACAGAAGGTTGGAGGTCTTGGTTTCAGTTCTGGGCCAAAGGGGAGAACTGAAGGAGAATCTGAGGCCAGAGGTACCAACCCATATGCCCCAAGACTAGAGGTGATTACAAAAACTAAGCTGTAACAAATTTAAAAAAAAATTAACGAACAGGCAAAGGAGAAAGAATCAAACCAAAGAGAGTTACTGTGAGAATAAAGAAGACTGGGGTTCATCTCCAGGGGAGGATACTGAAGCAAAGAAACCCTCTTTTATGTCAAAGAGTAATGTCAAATGGTCACCTGCCCAAAAAAGAATTCATAGAAGAACTTTAAAAAGACTTCAAAAATCAAATGAGAGAGATTAAGGAAAAACTTAAAAAAAAAAAAAAAAAGAACAATCCAAGCAAAACAAGATTATGAAAACAAAGTCAACCAATTAGAAAAAGATATCCAGAATCTTAAGGAAGAAAACTATTCCTTAAAAGTCAGAACTGGGCAAGCGGAAGGCAGCAAAGTTATAAGAGATCAAGAAATAATAAAACAAAATATAAAGAATGAAAAAAATATAGATGAGAATATGAAACATCTCATAAGAAAAACAACTGATCTGGAGAATAGATCAAGCAGAGAAAATATAAGAATAATCAGACTACCTGAATTCTATGATCCAAAAAAAAACAAGGATCTTGATACAATAATACAGGAAATAATTAAAGAAAATTATCCTGAAGCATTAGAACAAGAGGGGAAAGTAGAAATAGAAAAAAAACAAACAAAATCCACCAATCATCACCTGAAAGAAATCCTATGAGGAATACCCACAGGAATACCATAGTCAAATTCTGAAACCCCCAGCTCAAGGATAAAATATTGCAAGCAACAAGAAAAAAAATTAAATATGATGGTGCCACAATTAGAATCACACAAGACCTAGCAGCAGCAACATTAAAAGAACACAGGTCTTGGAACACTATGTATTGAAGAGCAAAAGAACTGGGGTTCTGGCTGAAAATATCATACCCAGCAAAGTTAAGCATAATTTTGAATTAAAAAATGGACATTTAACAAGTTGTCAGACTTTGAGGATTTTGTTTAAAAAAGAAAAAAAAATTGAACTTAATAGATGATTTACCATACAATAGCCAAGAGAAATATAAGGTACATACCAAAGACTAATTACAAGAGACTCAATAAGGACAGACTGTTTACCTTTTGTGTATGTAAAAAGTATGTCTAAGATTGTTATTAGTAATTGGCTAGTTTGTAAGAAATATTGGAGTAGACCTGAGTATATTTTAAAAAGTAAAACCATTTAGGAACAGCTAAAAAGAGTTATGTAAATTAGGTGCAAGAGAAGAGCTGACCTAGAGGAATTAGGCGAGGAGGACTGTTAGTTCTAGAACCCTACTTTCATCAGGAATGGGTTCAAAAAGGAATTATATATATATATATGTGTATATATATGTATGTATATATGTGTGTATATATATATATGTATGTATATATGTATATATCTAGAAGAGTGAAAAGTCTTCTAAATTAGGAAAATGCTAAGAGGATGGGGAGGAGGGAGAGGATGAGGGATCTCTAGAGGGGAGGGTGAGGGAATAGGTTAAAGGAGGGTATAGAAAGGTGTTTAGATTAATGGGAATGGAACAATAAGGGAGGGATCCTTGTGGGGGGGTAGGTTAAGTAATCAGAGGGCAAAGTAGCAGGTAAAAAGTACAGGAGTCAAGAGGGATAGGAAATAAGAGATACACACAAACATAAAATAAAGATCAATTTGTTAGGGAAGGTATAAGTCTATGTATGTCTATATGTATGTATGTGTGTATCTGTCTATGTGTGTGTATATATGTATGTATCTTTGTCTATATCTATATCTAGATATAGATATGTATATCTAGATTTATATATGTATATATATATCTAGATATATATATGTATATCTAGATATATATGTATATATAATATATTGTATATATACTATATATATATAATATATATGTATATATACTATATATATATATGTCCATGCTTAATTGTAGCCTTCTGGGGTGGGGGGGGATAAAGGGGAAGAAAGAACAAAGTTAAAAGTGTACAGCAGAGAACAAAAGAAAACTTACAAAGAAGCAAAGAAAAGATGGACAGCTCTCAACACAACATGTAGAATTTATAGGCTTTCTTGAAATGGAAATTTATTGCTGTATATTTTGAATCTTCTTACATTCTGTTGTGCACATGACAATGCTTTTTTTTTCTTTTCTTCTTTTCTATTTAAGTTTATAATATGTTTGTTTTCCTTTTCTTATTGTATATTTAAGTTTTAGTATCTAAGTCTAAAATTTAAAAAAAAAAGAAATTTAAAAAAAAACCATAAAGGGTAATACCATAAGCAAATTATGAGAGCAGGCAGTAGTTTACCTGTCAAATTTATGGAGAAGGGAATAAATTTATGATCAAACAAGAGATAGCAAGAATTGCTAGATGTAAATTGTACAATTTTGATTATATTAAATTAAAAAGCTTCTGCACAAGCAAAACCAATGCAAACAAGATTAGAAGAAGAGCAGAAAGCTGGGAAACATTTTTTACAGCAAGTGTCTCTGATAAAGGCCTCATTTCTCAATTGTATGGAGAATTAAGTCAAATTTATAAGAATACAATTGATTCCCCAATTGATAAATGGTCGAAGGATATAAAAAAGCAGTTTTTGAATGAAGAGATCAAATCTATCTATAGTCATATGAAAAAATGCTCTAAATCACTATTGATTAGAGAAATGCAAATTAAAACAACTCTGAGGTACCACCTCACACCTATCAGATTGGCTAATATGACAAAAAAAAGTAAAATAATAAATTTTGGAGGGAATGTGGGAAAATTGGGATATTATTGTTGATGGAATTGTGAACTGATCCAACCATTCTGGAAAGCAATTTGGAACTATACTCAAATGTCTATAAAACTGTGCATACCTTGATCCAGCAATACCACCACTAGGTCTATATCCCAAAGAGATCAAAAAAGTGAGGAAAGGACCTATGTGTACAAAAAATATTCAAAGCAGTTCTTTTTATAGTGGCAAAAAATTGGAAATTATGTGGATGCCCATCAATTAGGGAATGGTTGAACAAGTTTTGATATATGATTGTAATGGAATGTTACTGTGCTATAAGAAATTATTTCAGAAAAACTTGAAAAGACTTATATGAACTGTTGCAAAGTGAAGTGAGCAGAACCAGGAGAACATTGTACACAGTAATAGTGATATTGTACGATGATCAACTGTGAATGACTTAGTTATTTTCAGCAATACAATGATCCAGGATAATTCCAAAGGACTCATGATGAAAAATGCTATCCACGTCCAGAGAAAGTACTGATGGAATCTGAATGCAGATCAGAGCATACTATTTTTCACTTTCTGTATTTTTTGTATTTTTTTTTCCCTTTGGGTCTGTGTCTTCTTTCACAAGATGACTCATATGGTACAATGTTTTGCATGATTGAATATGTATAACCTTTATCAAATTGCTTATCTTCTCAGGGAGAGGGGAGGTTAGGGAAGGAGAGAGAAATTTTGGAACTCAGTTTTTTTTTTAAATGAGTGTTAAAAATTGTCTTTACGTGTAACTGGGAAAAAATAAAATATTCAAAGAAAAAATGAGTGTGTTAGAATCAATAATGATTTCTAAATTCCCTTCCACTTCTAAATTTATAGTTCAAAAATTCCCAGAAATAGATGAGGAAATTGTTGAGGGTGGGGATTAGGAAAAAGCATTGTCTTATCTTCAAGTACTTGAAAAAATGTCCACGTAAAAAGGGAAGATTTGTCTTGTGCAACTCCAGGCACAGACCTAAGAACAAGGAAGTGGGATTGGGTGGATGAGTATTGTAGAAAGGCATATTTAGGCTGGATGAAAGGAAAGACTTCTGATAATGAGAGCTATGAATCATATAGCCAAAAAAGAGAGAGAGAGAATAGGGCTGCATATAGAACCTTCAGAGAGATAACCATGATATGAATGAAGGTCCACCAAAGGCTACTGAGAAGGAGCAGTCAGACAAGTAGAAGAAGAACCAGGAAGAGAACAATATCATGGAAACCTAAAGCAATGATTCTTGAGGGTGGTCTAGGGATTCCTGGGAGTCCTTTAGACCATTTCAGAAAATCTATAAGGTCAAAACAATTTTCATAATAACACTAAGACATTTTAATTTATAATACAGTAAATATCAATACAGATAGCCTACATAAACACAATTACAAAGGGAAAGGCCTCTGTAATTTTTAAACATATAAATAGGTTCTTGCTTCAGCAGCACATATACTAAAATTGGAACAGTACAGAGTAGATTAGCATGACTCTGTGCAAGGATGGCACACAAATTTGTGAAGTTTGGTATTTTAAAATAAAATAAAATATGTGTAGATGAGTATAAATGATAAAGGACCACTGACCCAGGGGGGGAAAATATATCTAGGGGGAGATGGTGATCACCAACGTCAAAGGCTTTGGAAAGGAAAAGGAAGGTCTTCAGATTACAAGTACAGCACACTTTTCCCTAAACCATAATGCCTTCAAAATAAGTATATTATTAACACAGTAATTATTATAGATGTTGCTACCACATTTACCACATTACTATAATAATTATAGATGTTTTTACCGCATTGAATGGGATGAAAGGGAAAGAAGGACAAGAGAGAAACAAAGAATGGTGTGGTCAGACTAAGCGTTATCCCGTCCCTCTCTCCTCCAAAATGAATTTAAGATCAGAGGAGCAATAAGATGCTCACAGTAACAATGTTGAGAGTAAATTATTTTGATAAATGGAATTGACTTAAATTTGAATAACAATATTGAATTTAGAATCCAAAGATCTATATCTTGATACCTATGTGACCTTAGTCAACTCATCTCTTGGTTTCAGTTTCCACGTCTGTAAAGTGAAGGGATTGGATGAGGTCACTTCTAAATTCCTTTTTAGCTCTAAATCTCATGATTTATGATGTTGATAATAATAGTTATTTTCAAAGTTCCGATCATTTTAGGTTTCAAATCAATCATTTATTGTGATTTTTTTTCTTTTAGACTCATGTAAGACTGGTGAAAGATTCAGAATACTCTTTTAAAGCTCAGACTGGATTATGTCATTACTTTTCTGGATCACATGCTGGTGTTTCCATCAAAGATTACTCTTCCTATGACTTCAGGTAAATATCCCTGATTGTAGTTTGCCTTTTGTCCCTTGTACTCAGCAAAGGTACATATACTAATCTGTGATATATTAATTCTATAAAACCAATCACTGTGTTTGACGCCTCCTAGGAACTTGACTGTCCATGCTAACATTAAGATATCTTGCTTAAGATCTTTTTCTCTAAAACAAATTTCTCCCTCTTACATAAACTATTTCATAACCTTTCACTCAGCTGCCAATGTCCAAAATCTTTGACATTTCTCTTTCTTTCACTTCTTACGTACAATTAGTTATCAAGGTCTATTCATACTGTCATTGTCATTCTCTTACATCTGCCCTCTCCTCAGCTATCCCATTGCAATCATCCAGGCTCTCGTTATCACCCACTGAACTATTGCAGTAGCCTCCAAAAGATCTTCCAGCCTCCTCTATCTGTCTCACTAGTCTAGTCTTTCTTTTAAATATGTAACAACAACCTGGTTCTGGCCCCTACTTTTGTTATTCACTTGTTTTAGTCATGTCCTACTCTTTGTGACCCCATTTGGGATTTTCTTGGCAGACATACTAGAGTGGTCTGTCATTTCTTTCTCCAGGGTTAAGTGACTTACCCAGGGTCACACAGCTAGTACATATCTGAGGCTGGATTTGAGCTCAGGTGTTCCTGACTCCATGCCGAACACTATCCACTGTGCCACCTAGCTGACCATAATCATCAGCAACAATGACAGATCTTTACTTCTTCTATTCCATACTTAAGACATAAAAGATTCAAAAGCATATATTGCTAAAGACTTAAAATTTTATATATTAGCATATAACTACTCTTCACTCTCCCATGAGTACATTAGAAGTTAAAACACCAAAGTGTGAAACATTTAATAGAAATGCTGCATAGCCTTTGGCTCTGCCCTGTCTAAATAACTCTCTCAAGGCCCACATCATCTTCCAAGTCAAGCCCAAGCTTGGACTGACCGTTCTGTCAGTGCTTATCTTCTCCAAGAATGATTTTGTTGAGGAAAACTGCTTCTTCCATCAGCTCTTATTGAAGAAGCTTCTAACCTCTCAAACCCACAAGGTTGCTTCCAAGTCTGGAAGCATTGACCTTAGGATTGTTCTTCAGTCATTTATGCTGAGAGAAAGAAACAAAGCAGAAGAGGTAGACAGGGCCTTGAGACCCTGACACAGGCTTACCTAAATGAGCATGTATCCTCGTTACCATATGGGAGCAGCATCATAGGTGCTACTGGGGAGAGATGTCCCTTTCCCTTGTAGGAACTCCAAGATAAAGCACCACAGCAGATGGCAAGAGAGTAAGAGTGAAATTGTCTCTTCCTTTTTCACCTTTTGAAAACCAACTCAAATTTCATCTTAATGAAATTAAATCATAACAATTCAATATTTTGTAAATGTCTCTTTTATTACTTAAGAAAACTGGACTAGCTTATACATTTTTTTCCAATATAAGGTGAGTAATAAGCTAAGGTATCATATAAAACCAAGCAAACTAGAATTGGAAATTGAGGGGAATTGAACAAGTTGTGGTGTATTAATGTAATAGAATAGTATTGTGCTATAGGAAATGGTGAGCAGGTAGATTTCAGAAAAATCTGAGAAGGTATACATGAACTGATGCAAAATGAAGTGAGCAGAACCAGGAGAATATTGTACATAGTATCAACAACATTGTAAAATGATCAACTGTGATTGAAAAAGAAAAAAGCAAACTAATAATATGCTCAATTTGAGGTTTCTGTTCAACAGTTAAATTATTCAGAGATCAAAGATGGCAGAATTGCAGGAAGAATAGTCAACTTTCCCCTATGCCTTCTTTTTTTTTTTTTTTTTTGGTGAGGCAATTGGGGTTAAGTTAGTTGCCCATGGTCACACAGCTAGTAAGTGTCAAGTGTCTGGTCTGAGTCTGGATTTGAACTCAGGTCCTCCTGACTCCAGGCCTGGTACTCTATCCACTGTACCACCTAGCTGCCCCTACCCCCATGCCTTCTATACAAAATTCTAGAAAATACACCAAATAGTCCTGATTGGGAAAGCCAAGAAAAAAATGACAGTAAATCATTTCCCTAGACCAGGTCAGCACAGGGTAACAGACAGAGAGATCTGTGGGTACTGGGGGCAAGGCATGGCCAGAAGTGCTTCATGGAGGATTCCACCATGCAGTGACTGAAAAAGGACTGTGTCTAAGGACAAGAAGTCCCAAACTTGTGGGACACACCAAACTTGTGCAAGTCATCAGAATAGGTGTTAACTGATACCTCTGCTGCTAACTACCTAGCCCCAGGGCAGACCAAGGAGGTAATCTGGGCTTAATAAGGAGTGGTCATAGACTGTGCACTGACTGATCTAAGGACAAATTCAGAGGCAAGCAGCAGCTGTGTGTCTCTGACCCCAGGAGCAGAACGGGGTCCTGGCTCCTGTCTCCAGCCCCTTCTTAAGCTTGTAGTAGAATAACCAGGGCAGGACTCCCAGACCAATAGGCAGCCTTCGGTTTTGTCATTTTAAACCATCAGACAGGGGCCTAGTCTAGCAATTAAAAAATGTAAACATTCAAGAAACCAATGATTCATTAAGAGTTTATCATCCAGAGTAAATGACAAAGTTTATCTTCTCAAGGTATAATGGCTATGAAATTAGGAAGAATATGTTTCTTATTCTTTATTTTGTAGCACATTTTAACATATTTTCTATAACTTATGGCATTAAGATTTTACCCTTTAAATTTTTAGATTTTAAATTTTTTACTTTTAAATTTGTTCTTAAATTTTTATTGATACATTTTTTTCCATGACTTCCATTTCCAAACATATCCCTTCCAATTATCTTAGCTAGAGAGCTATCTGTTGTAACAAAATATAAAAATCAAGGGGAAAAAACTGGTTAGCAAAAGTAAAGAACACATCAACTAAGTCTGATGGCCATGTTCCACAGCTCTAAAAAAGAAGGGGGGGATGATAGGTTTTCTTCCCTATTCTTCAAGCTTGGTCATTATAATTATCAAGTGGTGGTAAATTTATAACTGGAAGATACATCAGAGTCCTTTAAGTTCAGTCCCCTCATTTTACGGATAAGGAAACTGAGGCCTTGGAAAGATAAGTACTTGCTCAAGTTATGCAAAATACATGGCATCTGGCTTTATTTCTTATTATTCTTTCCATTTACATTGTTGTAATAGTATTCTTTTCTTGCTCTGTTTGCTTTTTGTGGCATTAGTTCATAAAAATTTTTCTATGTTTCTCTGAATTTTTCACATTCATCATTTCTTAGGGCACAGCAATATTCCATTACATTCATGTGTCACATTTTGTCTAGACATTCTCCAGTTAGTGGACATTTACTTTTTTTCCAGATCTTTGCTACTACAAAAACACAAAAAGTGGTCTTTTAGGTTTATATATGAGACTTTCATTTCTGTCTTTGTTCTTCCTGAAGCATAGGCCTAAAAATAAAGGTGATCAATAAGGATAAAATAGATAATTTTGATTACATGAAATTGAAAGACTTTTGTGAGAATAAACTTGACACAAATACTGTAGGAAGGAAAGAGATGAATTGGGGAGAAAAAATATTCATACTAACTATCTATGTTAAAAGTCTGATATCCAATATATAGAGGGAATAAAAGTAAATATATAACAAAAAAATCACCAATTGATAAGTGATCAAAGTAAAAATAATGACAATAATAATAGCTAACATTTATATAGTGCTTGGGCAGCTGGGTGGTACAATGGATAGAGCACCAGGACTAGAGTCAGGAAAACCTGAGTTCAAATCTGGTCTCAGATTTCTGTGACCCTGGGCAAGTAACCTAATCCTGTCTGCCTCAGTTCCCTCATCTGTAAAATGAGCCAGAAAAGGAAATGACAAACCACTCCAGTATCTTTGCCAAGAAAACCCCAATCGTGGTCATGAAGAGTTGGACATGACTTGAACCAACTGAGAAACATAACACAGTACTTACCATGTGCCAGGTACTGTGCTAACTACTTTATAATTATTATCTCATTTAATCCTCACAACAAACCTGGGAGGTAGGTGCTGTTATTAACCCCATTTTACAGATGAGGAAACTAAAGTAAACAGAGGCTAAGTGACTAATGACATGTAGTGTCTGAGTCTGGATTTGAACTCAGGTCCTCCTGATAAACAGGCCCAACACTCTATCCATTGTGTCACTTAGCTGTCACAAAGGGTAGGAACAAACAATTCTCAAAAGTAGAATTTTAAGCTACTAAGGACTATATGAAATATTGCCCATTTCATATCACTAATAATAAAAGAAATGCAAATCAAAACAACTTTGAGGTTTCATCTGTCATATGACATATTGACGAAGATGGCAAAAGATAGGAGTTGACAATGTTGGAGCCAACTGTAGAAAGGCTTAGTTAGATGTTGTTGGCAGAGGGATGAAGTGGTTCATGCTGGATAGTAATTTTGGGGCAGCTAAGTGATGTAGTGTTTACGGCATTGGACTTGGAATCAGGAAGGCTCATCTTCATGGGTTCAAATCCAGCCAGATACTTACTAGCTGTGTGACCTTGGGCAAGTCACTTAACCTTATTTGCCTTAGTTTCCTCATCTATAAAATGAGCTGGAGAAGGAAATGGCAAACCACTCTAGTATCTTTGCCAAGCAAAACCCCCAAAAATGGGGGTCAGAAGAAGAGTCGGACACAACTAAACACATGGCCAAAAAAGTGGACAGTAATTTGTAATCACGCTATTAAAAAGTGACTAAAATGTCCTTAGTCTTTGACCCAGAGATTGCATTGCTATTCCAAACGAGGTTAAAAAAAATAAAAGGAGTCAGGGGAAGGGGCGGGGGGAGGTCGAACAGTCACCAACATATTTACAGCAGGATGAGTTTGTTTGTTTGTTTGTTTTGGCCTCAAGGACCAAGAAACAAACAAAAAAAAAATGTCTATTGCTTGGGGAATAACTAAACCAGGTCAAGGAGAAAATATTGCAAGCAACCAGAAAGAAACAATTCAAGCATTATGGAAACACAATCAGGATAACACAGGATTTAGTAGCTTCTACATTAAGGGATTGGAGGCCTTGGAATATAATATTCTGGAGGGCAAAGGAGATACAGCCAAGAATCACCTACCCAGCAAAACTGAGTATAATCCTTCAGGGGGAAAAAATAGACATTCAGTGAAATACAGGACTTTCAAGCATTCTTGATAAAAAGACCAGAACTGAATAGAAAATTTGACTTTTAAATACAAGACTCAAGAGAAGCATGAAGAGGTAAACAGGAAAGAGAAAGCATAAGGGACTTATTAAGGTTGAACTGTTTACATTCCTACATGAAAAGATGATATTTGTAACTCATGAGACCTTTGTCAGTATTAGGGTAATGGAGAGAAAAAATTATATGTATAGATACATTGATAGATAGAGGGCACAGGGTGAGTTGAAGATGAATGGGTGATATCTGGAGAATAAAATTAAGAGGTGAGAGAGGATTATACTGGGAGAAGGAGAAAGGGAGAGGTAGAATGGGGTAAATTATCTCACATAAAAGACAAGAAAAGGCTTTTACAGTGGAGGGGAAAAGGGGGAAGGTGAGAGGGAATGAGTGAATCTTATTCTTACTGGATTTGGCTTAAGAAGGGAATAACATACATACTCAATTGGGTATGGAAAGCTATCTTACCCTGTAGGAAAATAGGGGGGAAGGGGATAAGAAAGCAGGGGGAATGATAGAGGGGAAGGCAGATTGGGGAAGGGGTTAATCAGAAGCAAACACTTCTGTGGAGGGACAGGGTCAAAAGAGAGAATAGAATAAACGAGGGGTGGGATAGGATGAAGGGAAATATACTTAGTTTTTCACAACATGACTACTGCGGAAGTGTTTTGCTTGACTACACAAGTATAACCTGTATCGAGTTGCTTGCCTTCTCAATGAAGGTAGGTGGGGAGGGGGGAAGGGAGAAAATTTGGAACCCAAAGTTTTAAAAAATAAATGTGAAAAAAATTGTTTTCATATGCAACTAGGAAATAAGAAATATAGGCAATGGGGTATAGAAATCTATCCTTCCCCTATAGGAAAATCAAAGAAGAAGGGGGTAAGAGAAGTGGGGGGAGATAGAAGGGAGGGCAGATTAGGGGAAAGAGTATTCAGAATGAGTGCTGTCTTGGGGTTGGGGGAGGGATGAGATGGGGAGAAAATTTGAAACTCAAATGTGAATGTTGAAGACTAAAAATAAATTAATAAAAAACAAAACAAAAAATTAATAAAATAATTAAATATATAAATATTTAATAAGAAATCTATTTTTTCAAATAAAATTTTTCAATGTTTTTCAAGTAAAAATAAATATTTATTTGGGAATAAATAAATAAAAATAAAAAAGATTAATAAGAAGACTACAGAGAGGCATGGGAAGACTTAAATGAAGTGATGCAAAATAAGTAAACAGAACCAGGAAAACAATATATACCACCACTAAAACAACATAAATGGAGAAACTCGAATTTGAACAATGTACCTCTCTGTTTTCTTCAGTAAAATAAGTGACTATACTGGCTGATATAGAACTATATTTGATTGATGTGAGGATTAGTTTTGCTGAACTACTTTTTTTCCTCTTAAAAAGAATTGCTCCAAGAGTTGGTGAAGGGAAGGGGATATTTTAAGTAATGAAGATGATATAAAAGCAAAAGGTATTAAATAAAATTTTTAAAACAAATTCTTTCCCTAGCCACAGCTGTGAAAGGTTCCTGATTTGATTCTTTTTATTTTCTTTTTATGCTTGATGGGACTTTTTATACATGATATAACTTTTTTATTCAGATTGATTATCCATTTTTGAGTCTGTTGTGATATATGGTATAAGATGTTAATCTAAACCTAATTTCTTCCAAACTTCTTTGCAGTTTTCCAAGAAGTTCTTTTCAAATAAAGGATTCTTTCCCACAAGTCATTTATGTTCTTGTATTTGTTGAACACTAGGGTACAACATTTGTTTCTGATATTTCTTAACCTATTCTGTTTGCTGAATTACTTTTTTACTTTTAATCAGTACCAAATAATTTTAGTGATTACTATTTTATAGTATAATTTGAGGACCAAAAATTTTTTCCCCATTCATTCATACTTCCCCCCAATATTCTCTTTGAAATTCTTTTTGTTCCCCCCAACAAATGAATTTTTTTATTATTTCATCTATTTTTGTCTTCTGTCCCCTTGGTAGTCTGATTGGTTTAGTTATGTTAATTTTTGTATTTAAATTTAAAATATGTTAATTTATGTTATCATTTTTATTATGTTAGTAGGGCCCGATCATGAGTAATGATTCTTCCCTATTATTTTCAGTTTATTTTTTTAAAGAGTAATTGTATTTATATATCTTGAGTATACCTCTGTAGATTGCCACTTAGCTCATGTATTTTGTGGTGATTTTTGAATGAAAATTTCTTTTTTATTATGTCTTCCTAGATTTTATGATTGTTGTACAGAAATGCTACTGCTTTTTGTCAGTTTATTTTACATTCTGTTAAGTTATTGAATTTGTTAATTTCCCTAGTTTCTTTGCTGATTCATTGAGATTTTTCTAAGTAAACTACAATGTTGATAGCATATAGGTACAACTTTGTCTCCTCTTTGGCTACATTTAATTTCTTTCTCTTACTTTCTTCAAATTACTAGCATTTCTACAACGATGTTGTAGTAAAGAAAGGACATGATAGCCTTACTCCTGTATTTAGAGGGAAAGCTTTCAGTGCTTCCCCATTGCAAATAATCCTTGCTTTTGACTTGAGATATATACTTTTTATCATATCAAAACATGACCATTATATGACTATGATTTGTAGATTTGGTTTTTGTTTTTGTTTTTTACTGAAATGAGTGTTTCACTTTTTGATCCCTTGATACAATCATATATGTGGAGTAATTTGTTTTTAATATGATTATTAATTTTTTTCTTAAAGTCAAACCATCCTTGCATCCCTAATATAAATCCAACTTGGTCATAGAGAATATTTTGATTAATATATTGCTGAAGTCATATCGGTACTCTGGTCCTTCTTAATCATGTAGTTGTCATTCTATGATGTCTAAGCTCTGTTGTATCAATGTGACCTTAGGCAAGTCAGCTAACATTTTGGGGGCTCAATTGCCTTATTTGTACAATGAGGGGGTTGGACTCAATGAAAACTCCCTTTCACTTCTAAACATATGATTTTATGATTATAAATGTTAATTTAGCATAGATCAAGAGCTACGATTATAAGATTTAGAGCTAAAAGAGGCCTTAGAGATTATATTTGAACCCCCTCATTTTACAAGTGAGGAAATAGAGCTTCAGAGAAGCTACATGACCTTTTTTAAGTTATCCAATAAGAGCATTGGACTTAGAGTCAGCAAAATGTGAGTTTGAATCTTGCCACAAAATGTACCAGCTGGGTACCTCTCAACAAGTTCCTTGACCTCTCAGCCTCAGTTTCCCTATTTGTAAAGTAGAAATAATAATAATTTCTACCTCACTCGATTGTTGTGAGGCTCAAGTGAAGTGCTTTGCAAATCTGTGAATGTTAGATGTCTTTATTATTACTGTTGTTATTTCTTATGATGATAGAGCCAGTGTTGGAACTCAGGTCTTTGGGCTTCAAATCCAGTGTTCTTTTTTCATGGTTACATTGCATTAGAGATGTTCAATCTTGAGACAAATTAAACTCATCAGTACAGTGGTTCCTCTTTCTTCCTAGTGATAAAGAGGATGAAATGGCCAAAGCACTCCTTGCCTATGGCCCTTTAGCTGTGATAGTGGATGCAGTGAGCTGGCAAGATTATCTAGGAGGAATAATCCAGCATCACTGTTCCAGTGGAGAAGCCAATCACGCTGTTCTCATAACTGGTTTTGACAAAACAGGTACGTGTCGTTTAGAATACATATTCTCAGGAGGCAGAAATTTCCCAGTCTTGTTCAAACTATTTCTTATTGGGGTACTCTCTTTACAATGATGGCAACCTTAAAATAATCCATTATAAAAATGTGTGTTTTCAGTTAGTCATTCTTCATAGAAATTCATAGAAATATTGAGAATATTTTCTAATCAAGTCCCTCAGTGCTGTAGTGTATACCTTTCAGTACCTGGTTTTTCCCTTTCCTGGTTCTCTATAGTTTTCTTTTCTTTTTTCTTTATCCCTTTATTCTATATTCAGTAGGTGACTAGGTGGTATAGAGTAATGCACCTGAAGTCAATAACAACTAAATTTGAATGTTATTAGCTGTGGGACCCTGAACAAATCATTTGAATTCTCTCAGCCTGCCTCCTCATCTGTAAAATGGGGATAAAAAGAAACTATCTCACAGTTTTGTTGAGAAGATCAAATGAAATTGTATGTGTAAAGTGCCTTGTAGTCCTTAAAGTATCATTAACCATTATTAACAGTTCAAGACAGTCTGCATTTTCTTTTGCATTATGGCTAATATAGAAATGTTTTTCATGACTTCATGTATATAATCTATATCAAATTGCTTACCTTCTCAAGGAAAGGGGAGGAGATGGAGGAAGAGAATTCAGAACTCAAAAAAAATTTAAATGAATGTTAAAAATGTTTGTTTATATGTAATTGAGAAAAATAAAAGATAAATGTAAAAAAAAGACATTTATTAAGCATCTAGTATTAAACCACTTACCACTATAAAGCACTTAAAAATACTAGTTTCTTTGTCTTTAGTGTCATATTCAGTATAGTAGAGACCTATTGTCAGATTTATATTAGCACTCAATTGTATCTCCAAGTCTTACTCTTATATGCATGTATTTCTTTAGTATATCTCCCTTTAGTAAATTACTAAGTAAATAGTTATCCATTCTTATCCACATTTATTGTACTAAAAGTGTTCTGGTCGTCTCAAGTTGACTTTCCTCTCTTATTTTTATAGGAAACACTCCTTATTGGATAGTACGGAATTCATGGGGTACTTCCTGGGGAGTAGATGGTTACGCCTTTGTTAAAATGGGAGCTAATATTTGTGGTAAGTCTTGTTTATGCCCCCAAATACAGATTGAATGGCAAGACAGGCTCTTTGCATCTATTAAAGGGATAGAAAGCAATGAATTATCCATTGAAAGAGATCTCAGAGATCATCTAGTCTAACCAAGATCTGGACTCTTCCCTCTCCCCCAAATGAATATGCCCTGGGCACCAAATCCTAGATATGGCTCTGTTCCATCCCATAACTGGAAAAGAATTCCTTCTATAGCATACCCATGAAGTAATCAGACAGCCCAGGCATGAATCCCTCCAAAGCATCCCATTCCATATTTGGATAGTTCTAATTATCAGGTTTTTCCTTGCATCACATCTAATTAGGCCTCTCCCATAAAGCTGGAATCTACTCTTTTATCAAACTCTGATTTATAGAGTAGGCTCTATTTCTTAGACTTCAAGGAATGGCAATTTGTGTACATTAACTAGATGATTAAGGGATAAGAGAAGACATTTAAAAAAAAAGAGAGAGAGAGAGCCTAGGGGAAATGAACCTATCCAAGTAGATCTGCCTTACAAATATGAAAGCTAAACATGGAAAGTGTCACATTTTTTTTTTGATGCCTGTAATTATACTGGCATAGGGAAATCCTAGTCAAGAACTTCCCCGTTCCAGTGCAGACTTGTACCTACTCTGAAACTTATGTAGTCTTAGAGACATTGAGAGCTTAAGTGACTTCAATTGCTTCTATTTGACTTCACTCCAGAAGTATAAATCTAATGTCTGTACCAACCCACCAAATTCTGTCAAAATAGTCAGTGGGAAGAAAAAAAGACTTGAGCCTCAAAAATGAAAAATACATGTATGCATGTGTTTATGCTCATTTGTGGTTTTCCAAATCAGTTTGTGCCCAAAAGAGATTCATTTCTATTTGAGTTTGACACCACTGGTCTAGTGCACAGATCATAGAAATGGTTTTCATTTGAGATGAATGAAAAGCCTGAGAGATAGAGTTTCTGGGTAATTAATAATCAATTTAGTAATTGGGCTAGCAAATAATTAATAAATTGATGGTCAGTGGTCTCTCTTGGTAACCAAAGACAAAACCATGGAGATCATCAAATGCTTAAATATCTTTGGACATGTGGGTGCTCCTGACAGGTGGAGATCAACCCTGATTGGTGAATAGTTAATGATGGGGTGGCGGAGGGGGTGGGCTGAAAGCCTTCAGCTCCTCCTCCTGAGAGGGTAGCTTGATCATGAGACTCAGCTGCCTCTCACTATCTGGACAAATGAATCCATCTTCGCCCTCTTAGGGCTAAAATTCACCTAGAATAGATTCTATTTACAATTTAATCAGAAGTAAGCTCTCCTAATTGGATGTGGTCCTACCAAGATGGAGGAGAATGTCCCTGGGAGGATTAGGCCAATCTCATCATCAGCCCTGCCCTTCAAAGGTTGACTGACCTATAAGAACTGGTCCCTGAATGAGGAAATAGAAAGGAAAAAAAATCAATCCTAATGTAATCATTGGTTATTAATAGAAAAAATAATTTTTCTCACATTTTTAATCCATTTAATTCAGCAATTCAATCCAACAGTCTTCTACTAAACACCTACTGTGTGCAATGTCCTGTGTAGTGACCCTGGGGATGCAAAAAACTAAATGGAACTGGCATCAAAGAGTTTGTTTTCCACTGATTCCAGGGAGCTTGCGTTAACTAAGGATTCTGTAAATTGGAACCGGGTATAATATATAAAGGCTCTGCTCCAAGAAGCAGATATGAAACTTTATAGTTTGTTTCTTGAAAAAAAATTTTTTTTAATTATTCTGCCTAAAAATCTTCCTCTAGATCAAGCATTCATAATATGAATGTTGAATATTTTCCAGAGTTGGTAGAATCTTTCCTGTAGTTGGAAAGGTCAGAAAGAATAAGAAGGAATACTTCTCTCAGCTCTAGACATTTTCTCTGACTGCTCCCCATACCTAGAATGCCTTCCACTTTTATCTCCACCTTCTGCCTTCCCTAACTTCCTTCAAGACTCAGATAAATCCCATATTCTACCTTTCCCAACATCTCTTAATTCTAGTGCCTTCCCTCTGTTAGTTATTCCCTATGTATCCTGTATATAGCTTGATTATACATGTTTATTTGCTTGTGTCTTGCCCTTTAAACTGTAATCTCCTTGAGGGCAGGGACTGCCTTTCACCTTTTACTATACCCCCAGTGCTTGGCACACAATAGGTGCTTAATAAATGCTTATTGAATGACCTAGAAAAGAGATTCAAGGAGGACGATGACATCACCTTTCCCTTAATACCAACCTGGCAAGTCACTGTGGTTAACTTTAAACAGGACTTTAAATCGCATCATGTTTCCTCTCAAAGCAATGGAGAAGATCACTCACATGCAAACCACATTGACCACAAATTCAGTTCAATTCAATTCTGCAGGTGTTTTAAAAATAGCTGCTGTGTTCAATGTGCTATATGCTTGCCGAGATTGAACTTTGGAGTGAAGTGTTGTGGAGCTTCCCCGGAACTCTATTTTCCCTAGAACTTTTTCCTTCTTCCTCCTTCCATCTCTCTGTGTCTGTCTCTGTATCTCTATCTCTGTCCCTCTCTGTCTCTCTGTCTCTCTGTCTCTCTCTGTCTCTGTCTCTTTTTCTCTCTCATTTTCTCCCTCTCCCTCTCTCCCTACCTCCTCTGTCTCTCTCTGTGACTGTCTCTCTGTCTCTGTCTCTCCCTTCTCTGTCTCTACCCCCTTCATCATCCCCCCACCTCTCTGTAGATATAGATATCTATATGTGGGTGTATGCATACATATGAATTATTAGTAGCTTATTCCTTGCCTAAAGTATATCCATATATTATATAATACATAAATATATCATGTGTATATATACATCTATGTGTGTATAAATTATTAGCTTATCCCTTTCCTAAATTTAAATAGATATATAAAATACATATTTTATATGTGTATATATGTATATATATAAATCATTACTAGCTTATTCCTTGCCTAAATGGTATGTTTATATATTATGCAATATATAAAAATATGTGTGTATACATTTATAGAAATTATTACTAGCTTATTCCTTGCCTATATATATGTGTATATATATATATATATATATTACATGCACATGTGTGTGCATGTAAAATTTTACTAGCTTATCCTTGCCTATATATGTATTTATATATTGGGTAATATATAAAGAAATGTGTATATATTTATAGAAATCATTACTAGCTTATTCCTTGACTAAATATATATTTATATATTATGTAATATATAAGTATGTGTGTATACATTTATAGAAATTATTACTAGTTTATTCCTTGCCTAAATATTTATTTATATATTACATATTATATATAAAATGTGTGTTTATATACACATATGTGTATGCATATATACATACATATGCATATATACATACATAAATATATAATATTTATTACATAGTGTATATAATATATTTCTAGCTTATTCCTTTCCTTTTGATTTAAGACAGCACTTCATAACCTCTTTTATGTGCCAGAGAGCCCTTGGTCAGTCTGGTGGAAGCCCATGAAGAAACCATTGTCAGAATAAAATTTTTACTGAATAAAATAAAATAGAATTACAAAGGAATCTGATTATAATGAAATCAGTTTTCAAATCTTAAAAACAAAACAAAACAAAAAACAGGTTCCCACTCTTCACCTTAAGAACCTCTGATTTAAAGCATATCCACAAAATTAATGGTACATAGATAACTTTTATCGTATGCACATTTGGGAGGGACAGCACAGTGTTGTGGGTTGACAGCTGTCCTGGGATCATGAAATCCTATCTCTGACATATACTGTGACTGTGTGACCTAGGACAAGTTGTTTAAACTCTCTTCCCCAGTCCACATTCTAAGATTTTCCTTAAAAAACTTTGGTTTGAGAGTTTCTAATCCTTCCTAGAGTGACTTCACCTGTTAATTTTTAATCTTTGAGATCCTATTTATTCTTCTCGTGAAGCCTTTGACGTGTCTTCCCCAAATCAAGGTTGCATGAAATATCATACCTGGCCTTCCTTTTCTCTTTCACAAACTCTGTGAGGAAAAGGTCACATTCTCCATCATTTCTATTCCAGTATGGAGAATTTTGCTCCCAATCTCCCTCCAATTCATCCTGCTGAACTGAACTTTCCACAACAGTGGTTTTATCATGTCATCCATTCCCCAGTTAAAATGGTCAACATTAAATGTCTACTGTGTTCAAGGCACCACATATAATCTAGCTTGACAAGAGTTTGACCTAAATACTAAGTGGTTCAGGGATCACTCCAGAGGTCTTCTTATAAGAAGAGCCCTTCTTATTGGCTTTTGTGAGCTTGCCAAAGACTACATCATAATTTGTGAGGTTGCCATTTGCAATTGACCACTTGTCTATGGGACCCAAGAAAACTGATGCCTTCATTGACTTCCATAGAATCAGAGCCAGAGAGACCTCATTCTCAAAAAAAACTCTCTTGAGTTTTGAAAACAGTGCCTGGGATCTTGTTTAACTTACATTTTGTGCTCCAGAATCCTCCATGCTCACTTAGGAGTGCTGGGGGGTTAGCAGCCAAACATTGACCATGAACAACTTGCTCTGGTAGGTTCTTTTCCGTTACTGATAAAGACAAGAGGTATCATGCAGAATTCTGATCATTATCTCCCCTGCATGGCTTGCCATCCCCCTCACCTACCTCTACTTCTTGGAATCCCTACCTTCCTTCAAAGCCTGGCTCAGGTACCACTTTCATCACAAAGTTCTTACTGTTCCTCCCAGTTGTGACTACTGTTCTCCCAAATTACCTTGTATTTAATCATCTGCAAACGTATTGATCTTCCTTGAGACAGGTACTGGTTGTTCTATCTTTGTGTCCCTAGTGGCTCAGGTTCTAATATTAGGTATGTGATATTTGCTCATTGAATTGAATTTATGTGCTTTAAAATTATGTTGCAGCTTAAATATTATTAATATTTTTATTCAAATTTCATACACAAACAAATTTTTGTGTGTACTTGCAGAGGTAATAGCAATTAGGTGGTCAATTTCAATAGCAATTGAAAGAGAAAGCAGCTTATTTTTGTAGAGAGCAGGAGAGGGGTCTTAAGACAGAGACCAATAGCTTTCAGTGAAACAAATAAATAGATTTTATGCACACACTCATACTTGCATATATATATATATATATATATACACACAAGTGTATATACATGTTTTATGTACATATATTTATTGCAAGCCATTCCTTTATATTTATCATATATTATTTATGTATATACATATGCATATATATTTAATTATAAACATATTTTTTCCTTGCAAGCCATATATATATATATATATATATATATATTAAAATTGGTTGTGGATTCTTCAGATCATGTTGAGTTCAATGCTTTTGATAGTTAAGGGCTTGTAGTAGTCTCGTCACTATTAAAATGTTGCTTCCACTCAAATTTAAAAGCATGAACGTCAACATTTCACTAAAAAAGACAACCCACTAATAATAATTAGTTAGTACTAGTATAACTAGTACTTGTATAATACTTAAAGGTTTTCAAAGTACTTTACAAATATCATCTCATTTTATCATCACAATAACCCTGAAAAGTGCGTCCTATTATATTATCTTCATTTTATAGATGAGGAAACTGAGGCTGAAAGTGGTTGACCTCAGGGTCAGGTAACTACTAAGCTGACTGAGGCCAGATTTGAACTGAAGTCTTCCCTAGCTGCCTCTAAATTGTTTTCATTGTCCTATTGTCTCTAAACAATAGATGTGAACAATATACAAGTCAAATAGCAAACCTATTCATTTAAGTAATTTGTTTACATATATAGATATATGTATGTATGTTTGTATGTATATGTATGTGTGTATGTATATGTATGTGTTTGTATGTATATAATCTCACAGGATAACAGCTATAACAACAAAAACACGTCCTCTTAATATTCCTGGTTTTGTCCTTGCTGTTCCTCAGAGTTCTGAAGCCTATTCAGTTCAATACTTATATACAGTCACAAAATTGCAGTAAGCAATGACATTTTTCTTAAAGTACCAGTGGTTAATCGTCTGCCAGCGCTTCTGTTAGAGGCCTGTGTGGGTTGGCATAAAAAAGGTCAAATCCTGTTTTTCAAAATCGCTAAGTAAACATTTAATTCCAAAGGTTGGTTTGAGGGCAAAATTGTTTTCATCGATCAATTTGTCTAATAGGACATTTTCCCCCTTAGGTATCGCAGATTCGGTATCTGCTGTGTTTGTGTGATACCTGGGAGGAACACAAAAATGAAATCCTCACAACCAAACATTTTTGTCTTCAGAAACCCTCATCAAGCCCTGTTAATCAGCTACACGTGGACCAGGACACGCTGGTTTTTAAAAGCCCTGGTCATCGATTGTCTGTCTAAAGATCGGGACAGCTGAAGTCAAAGGGAAAACACCAAGTTGATCTTCTACCTGTTGTAGTTAGTGGGAAGTTAAACTAAGTGGACTTGCAGTCTCTTACAAGATATAGATTCTATGAATCTATTCATTCAGTTCAACAAATCATTATTTTGTGGCTTCTGTGTGCAAGTCCAAGTGTTAAGCACTAGGGGTACTGAGATAGAGAACAAGGAGTTTCCAGTCTAATAAGACAGAGAAGCTATGTACGTGTACAGAAGTATAATGAGAAGTAGGCTGTGATAAGGGTGTAGGAGCAGTCGAGGGAAAAACGTTTTAAGAATCAGGAAGGAGAGGTGAAATGAGGAATTTGGCTCTCTCAGTCCCTTCTTGCTCAGACATTCCATGACCCTGGGCTTTCCCTTTTTGACGTCCACCTTACATAGTGTCATTCGTAGCTAAAACACACCTGCTTCTTGTTCATTGCCTTTCTCATCCAATAATTGGTTTTTCCTGGGTCTATTACCTGACTAAGCTGTCCTGATTTTGATTGCCAGTAGTATTACCAGCAGTGCAGTGATGGCTTGGGGTGCCACTCACCTTCTTTCACTGACACCTGAGCTAGGCCATGCTTAACTGTTTATCTTCCTTTGAAAAAAAGAAAAGATAAAAAGTCATGTCACATTAAAAGTGCCCCAAGTATTTTTCTACAATTCCATATCAGTCTAAAATGTAGAAGAATTTTCTGAAATGAGACTTTCTAAACAGCAATATTTCCCTTTTTGCTTCCTTAGAAATTTTTTTTCTTCTATTAATCTTAAATCATCAGGATTAGGCAACCCTCCTTTTCTTGCTTTAGCCAGAAGTGGCCCCAGAAGGATGTGTTTGTTTACTGGTATACTTACTCTCAAGACTAAACCAGGAGAATTACTAGGCTTGGAAAATGATGTATTATGGGGAAAATAATTGGGACTTGGACTGTTAGCCAGGAGATGGATTCTAGGCCATGACAGTAACAAACTGACTTGTGAGCAAGTCGCCCCAGTTTTCTCTTCTGCAAATAGAAGGGTTTGGATAAGCTCAGGGATCTCCAAAGTAGGCTAAGAGAGCTGTTGCATGACCTTGTAGGTGATTAAGTGGTCAGAGTGAGGGAATATAGCTGCCAATCAAGATTCTCCACTTTTCCCCAGCTCCCGCTATCCTCATACTCTGCTCTGCCAATCAGCTTGCACCAGGGGCAGGCATGCCTCAGCCTGTGGGTTCTTTGCTTCAAGCACCAGCCAGTGAGGAAGAGTCCCCTACCCCAACCCCTCTCATTTTCGGTGGGATACTGAGTCACACAAGATGAGCAGGCAATGATGGTGTGCTGCAGATCAGAGTTCATTATTTCTTCTGAAGTTCTTGCTGTCAAAGGCACCACCATCCTCCCAGACACCCAGGTTTGCAATCTTGGTGTCTTGTTCTGTGTTCCACATATCCAAGTAGTTGCCAAATCTTGTCTTTTCTACCTCCATCATATCTCTTGCATTTCTTCCCTTCTCTCTTACTTACTTACATACACCTAAGTTCAGGCCATCATTACCTCTTGCCTAGACTATTGCAATAGATTCCTGATAAGTCTGTCTGCCTGTCTCTCTCCTCCATAGAGCTGCAAAAATTTTCCTAAAGTACAGATTTCACCATATCACTCTCCCTACCCAATAAATTCCAATGGCTCCCTATTGACTCCAGAATCAATTTTTTAAAAAATCTTTGTCACACTTTTAAAATTTCTACTTTTGTGTAACTTGTATGGTGTACATAATTAGCATAGCAATACACATATTGGGAAGTTGTGCTCAATTTTTTATACTAAAAGGGGTACACTATCCAAAAAGATTGGGGACCATTAGACTAGATTATCTCCAAGGACCCTTCCCCCTCTAAAATTCTGGGGTTATTTAGTAGAAATACTTTACAATTCAGGTACACCAGGCAAACATTTCCTACTTTCTGATTGAGCTCAACAAACATTTATTAGAATGGATGACTGGCTTGTTAATTTTTTGTTATTGTTACTTCTTTTTTTGTTTTTATGTACATTTGTAAAGTTCTGGATTTTTTAAATTTTGGAGATGATTATTTTTAAGTAAGGAAATACTGGGGAATTTTCTTGTATTCACAGTTTTGATTATCTTTGTAATAAAGGTTAAAATATAATAATTTTATTTTGATGACTGGTTTCTATTCTAAGGTAAAGGTATATAAAGGCCTGCATTTATGAAGGTATTTATTTCTGTGCTCATCTACCTTCCTGGCAGTGCACTCTGCAAAAAAATAACCACAATGGGCATTTATATTGATGATGGTGCCTAACATTTGCTATCTGTTCCAAATCAGCATTTTTGCATATTGTGAATTACATTCATGCAGAGCAATTCAAAAGCAAATTTCCACCTGCTAGTACTCTGAGCTATTTAGAGCAGTTCTTAGAGCAAGCCTGAAAGGAAAACACCAGCATGAATTTGACTGACATGGTAATCTAAGTTATTTTGCCCATTGAGAGTCATCTTTCAACAGATCAGGGAAGGCATCCTAGGGGAGGAAATTTTAGTAGATGCTTTGTGTGATGGCAGCAATAAACTCTGACAGTTTAATGAGGCTGAGGGTTCTAAGCTCAAAGACAGAACTGACTTAGTCAATGAGAGATTGAAGAAAGGAAGCAAAAAGTCCAAAATGACCCTAAATAAAGTGTGAGGATCTTAGTTTTCTGAGCAGCAATCAGAACTGCCCAACAATTTGTTGAAGTGAAATTCCAAATTGGACATATTTAATAATGGGCCTCATGGCTGTTTGTTTCGAGCATTTTAGAAAGGATTTCTTCATTACCAAGAGGTTAGATTAGTCCGGGGTAGGGAATCTGCAGCCTCAAAGCCACATGTGGCTGGATTCAGTCAAAGTACTGCACTTGAGGACCTAGAAGGCCACATCTGGTCTCGAGGCCGCAGGTTCTACACCCCAGTCACTGGTCCTTTGAAGTCCCAGCTCTAAAATGTGAGGAATCTATATGGAAAATTAATGTTATTGGATAGAGAGATATAATAATGTAAGTTCTTATAGTTGTATTTCATAGCTTTTATGCAGTTTTAGAAGGGCAAAGAGCTAGCTTTAGAGTCAAAAGGAGTTGGGCTCATATGCTACTTTTGATACATCCCAGCTAAATAACCTCTAAGTGCCCTGATAAACTCTAAAATAATGAGTTATGGTGAGTTGCCAGTCTACATCAATGGAATGGGCTTCCACACTGGGGAGTTCTCACATTGATGAAGCTCCAGGTCTGGATTTAAAAAAAAAAAAAAGAAAAGAAAGAAAAACAATGTTTAGGTCAGATCTACATACACAAACCAGGTTAAAAAAAAAACAGTGATACTCAAACTACTGCTTATTTGGAAAATTCAGCAGTTGAATTTTGTCATAAATTTGCCTGTGTTCATTGAAGAGTTTTTTTTTTGTTTGGTTTTGTTTGGTTTTGTTTTTCCTTCTAATGGATTTATACATCTAGATAATCATAGTTCCTTGCTCAAAGTCACTCTGAGGATAATTGGAAACAAGTTCATAAAAGTTCAGGTCATCTGAATACCAATCTACTGTAAAAGAGAGTGAAAGATCATATGAAAAAATGCTGTAGATTACTATTGATTAGAGAATGCAAATTAAAACAATTCTGAGCTTACAAACCTTATACCTATAACATTGGATAATATAACAAAAAAAGAAAAATGATGGATATTGGAGGTCATGTGGGAAAATTGGGACATTCTGGATAACTATTTGGAACTATGTCCAAAAGGCAATGCATACCCTTTGATTCAATAATACCACTGCTAGGTCTATATCCCAAAGACATCCAAAAAAAGAAAGGAAGGAAGGAAG